CGCCGTACTTCCGTGTCCTTCAGCTGCAATTATTTTGGTTTTGAGGCTTCAAAAAGTTCGGAATCTGAGATCCAGCCCCAATCCCAGTGGTATAACATCTAACTTATTAAATAACTCTCTCCAAGTGAATGTTCGAGTATAAGCGAGCGAAAGAGACAACCCCTAATTTGCACGCCAACCCCTCTGTTTGCTATACTTATTATTGTTGTTGCCGTTTGCTGTTGTTGCGTGTAAATCACACGGCATTTGCGCCCGCTCCTGTTGCATCTTTTACGTGCTACTGCTGCCGGCTACAGCTGCCGCTGATCCTGCGGCCAAGATACGGAGGCTCAGCCAACGGTACGACCTCGGCTCACGTGTGACAGGCTTTTTAAAACCGCCCCTGTCGTTTATTTTCGGTGTAATTTTTCAAGTCGCGACGTCTTTTGCAGTTGGCCATTAATCACGTGGCCAATGTTGCTTTCCGTGCTGGTAAAAAAAAATAAATAAAAGAGCAAGAGCAACCGAAGAAAATGTAAGGACCCGTTGCAGGGCCTACGCATTCTTTAATGTTGTTCTTAAATTGTTGCACATTTTAATGTTGGCAGCTTGCCTGCCAACCGTTCCTCCTGTCAATAATTCGTTGACTTTTGTAATAATTATGTTGCTGGTGCTGGTGCTGTTGCTCTTGCTGTTGCTGCTTCATTTATCCATTCTCACACGCACTCTGGCTGTCCTGGAAAATGGGGTCACGTGGCTGGCGCACGTCTTATGCCGTCCCCCAGGACACAAGGCGCATTACAGTCTTTTGTTTACCCAAAGCCAATGACAAGCTAAATGCAATTTGATGCGTGTCATGCCCCCAGGCTGTGAGCGGGCGGGTGAAAATGCGTCGTAATCATTATTTGTGACAATTGATGAGCTAAATCAATTTTTTAGCGCAGGGTTAGACCGCCGGCCGGACTGACAGTGTGCCAAATGGAATTGCAACAAATGTCGCTGAGCAATGCTTAGCCCCCTGGTAGTAAATAAATATTTGTCACGCACAGCTTTAACGCCAGACAGACTGCTGGGATACGCGATCTCAGCAACGACACCTGCCCAGACGGCAAACACACATGCATCAGGAAAATTATAGTTTTTAAATGAAGCTTATAATGTTTGGATTGAATCTCATTTATATTTTGAAGAATTTTGTTGGGGTTAAGCTAACTATTTTTATAACATATGTATGTATAGAGATTTTTATACTCTGTACAAGAGTATATTAGTTGAAAAATTTAATAGGCAGAAGAAGGCCACTCCCCCGATAATGGCGAATTTCTGAAACTCCTGTAATTCGTGGAATTTTTCAATAAAATTTGGCAAGTATGTATGGCAGTTAGATTATGTGTCCTCATTTCAATATAATAAGCAAATTTCAAAGGAAGTCACAAATGTAAGCCACAAATATAATCTCTGCCCAAGCACTGCCTCCAGCTGTTGTGTTTTGGCTCAACTTTGTACTGCATACATGGTCATACATAGACACGCATAAAATCATTGAAAAAATGAACGAATTTGTAATATTACCTTTAGTTACAGTGGAAGCTAGGTTCTTGTTTGTTTAGGATTTTTAGTCTGCTTTAATTCTGCTATCCAAAAACGCTTTTAGAAAAGTCAAGTTTTTGACAAGTATATTCTGGTATATACGTTTTTTCTAAGTTTGTGTCAAAAACAAATGCATTCGCATTTACATAAAATATGTACGTCCTTGCAAGTACAGAGATATGTGTTTTTATTTTGCGTCGAACCATTTCGGAAAATTTTTAATTCACACTAAAATGTGCATATTAGAAAATTCACTATAAAGTTTAATAAAATGGCAACATTTCCACACGAAAAGATAAAAACGTTTAAAATGGTTCTAGTAATTCACATTAAAATGATGCAAGGATGTGATATAAATATTTCGCACAAGGAATACCAAATGATGTAAAAAGCAAATGTTCATAAACTATTTATTCAATTAATTAAATTTCTACATACGATTTTTGGGTAGTTTCTTTTAATATCCAATTGTGCGCATTTGCAATTTCTTGCTAGGCATATTACGCCTGAACTCTAGTTACTACATAGAATATTAACATACCAGTACACATGCACCCAAAATATACTCGTTTGTAAACCATAGCTATAAGCATAACTGGTCGAGCAGAATGCATGGTAAATGAAAATACTATTCCAATGCACAGCATATCGATCTGACCACTGACTATTAATCAAATTTCCAATTAATTTGCCACAATTAATTGTTGTGATAATTGAGCAGCAACATCGAAGTAAAGAGCGGGCGGAGCTTTAAAACGAAATGTGAAAAGCTGCTAAAAAGTACATAAAATTACAGTTGCATTTGTGCACAATGCAATGCAATTTGATTTTGATATTTTCTCATTTTTAATATGCTTACCTTAAGGATGTTGGGTTCTTATTGTACTAAGCGCTCGTAAGTATGCTATACAATGTGTACGCCAGCACACTGAGGTAAGACTTAGAGATGGGTGAGTGTTTGAGACTGGGAGCGTATTCGTGTGGTATTTTAATACGATATGTGCTCAGTAGTCACCATTACATTTTCAATATTTTGCAGCCCATGAAATTTCAGCCCAAGTAGTAATATTTGTTTGCCTTTATTTAGTTGCAATGATTTAATAATGTTTATTTAGTCATTATTTAACCTTTAAGATGAAAGAGATGTAACAGTACTTATATTATTGGTGGAAAAAATGAGTATATATATTGGATCTGATGTACAGCCTTCTTATATCGATAAGTAAGAATGGTAATATCCGTCTTAAAATCACGATTTTCTTCTATTTGTTTCCGTCACTACTGCTCCCATATTTTAAGAGAGGCTTGAAGTATTATAAGGAAATTTTGTGTAAGTAGAAATACTTATATATATATATATATATATATATATATATTTGTATATATATATATATATATATATATATATATATATATATATATATATATATATATATATACAAATCAATGCCACTTTTCCTTGTAATTTTATAACTCTGCAACGGGCTCATCTATCCAAACTAAATGTTTAGGCTTTGTTCGGACTATTTAGTAGATGGTTTATGTGAAGTTCTTTATTTATCACATTTTTTGTAACAAATAAATGGCAGATCATATTGTTAATGGGGATTTTGCTGTCAAATTGAAACTTTTTTAAAATTAAAGTGAAACTGCCAGGTGTAGTCACGACATATATAGTATGTACATCAATTGACAGTGTTATGAATCAAGATGAGACAATGAATTCTCCAATTGAATTTTTAAATTCATTGGAATCGGCTGGTATGCCACCGCATTGCTTCAATTTGAAAGTTGGTTCTTTGATTATGTTATTGCGAAATATTAATCCAAAACAGTGTAATGGCACCAGATAGGCAGTGAAAAATTTATTGCCAAATTTGATCGAAGCTACGTTCTTAACATGTAAATCAAAAGGAGAAGTTTGTTTGATACCGCCTATGATTCCAACCGATATGCCGTTTCAGTTCAAACGATTACAGTATCCTGTGCGTTTATCATTTGCGATGTCCATCAACAAGGCCCAAGGGCAAACACTTCATGGCGAACTTTATGTTGCCTGTTCCAGAGTCGGTATCCCCGTTTGTTTATTCGTGCTCAAAATAGGAAAACAAAATATATTGTTTATCCAAAAATTTTAGATTTTTTGAATAAATGAATTTGTTGTTCCAATTAAATTTTTTTATTATTTCACTTTGTATGTAGCGAAGTACGTACCGGGCCGCTAGTCTTATATATAATACAAGACATTAGTGAGCTTTATGTAAACTATTTTCCAACAAAAGAAATGGGTGGGTTCTAATTAAATTTTAAAAAATATTAAGTTCACCAAAATCTTCATTAACTTTTAAATTTCTTAAATGACAAGTGTTTATCGAGTGTTGTTTCACACACTCACGCACTCATTACTACCAAACTTGACTATTATATTCAAGACACGAATACACATATAGATTCTTGTATGTATATCCGTCTGTGTTCCTTTCTAGCTGATTATATATTTTTATGATTGTCAACATATAATCAGGTTCAATGATGAGTGCGTTTGCCTGCTCACCTGTCCGATGGGATAATAAATACACAAGGGCTGACAGACAAATAGAAAGACAGGAAGGCAGACAGTAAATGGCAAGGCAGAATAGACAGGGAGACAGAAATACTGACATGTATACGGAAGCAATGGCAGCAAAAATTCCTTGCACAAAATGGCTTACAGCAGCCACCGGGAACGAGTATGATGAGGAGCACCAGAACAAGGAGCACCTTTATGGAGTCGCATTTGTAGCGCTTTATTAAAAAATGTGCGCAATTCGAGAAATGTTGCCAGCAGCGCAGCCATCGCTCTACCATCAATGCTGATGATGTTGCTGCAGCTTCTGGCTCAGCGTTACCTGCCTGCCCTCACGCCCGGCTGCTGTCTGGATGTCTGTCTCCGGCACAGTGAGAGCTGCATACACAAATATCAAATATTATTGAGCGAGCTGCACGATAAAAGGCAAGCCTGGCACCATTGATGCAGTAACGGCTCATGTGTCCTTAGTGCGACTCAAGCGACAGCTGTTCGTCTAACTCCGATAACCACATTTGCAAGCGTCCATGTCGCGCCCGTTGCCACCGGGCCATGCTTGTTGGTTGCCTTGCCAGCACAGCCTGTGTTGCCTGCCGGCTACCTAACTACTCGATTACCAGAATACCCGACTATCCGGCCGCCCTGCTACCCGGGTTGCCATTGCTACCGTTGCTGTTACCGCCAACGCGTTCTAACTTTGTTTATAAACATTTCACGTATATCAGCGACGAGCACCGCGTTTGGCCACACAAATTCCCGTGTTGTAAACTTTTATTATTACAGTTTTTCAACGTATATCCTGACTGGAAAACAATGTCAGAAAAAATGTGCATATAACATGAAAAATAACGGCAACAAAAACATCGCAAAAACAACAACACTATAGTGAAATTTTGCATTCATTTTTTGTTTGTTTGCCTTAAAAAAGAACATAGACAGGTGGAGCGAGCAAGCTAAAAAAATACACTAAAAATAAGCCAAAAATCATCAATCTATAATTTATATTAAGCCCTGTCGCAGCATGAAGAAAGTAGCCCCAGACCGACGGCCCTATTGCGATTCCAGGCTGCAGGATGTACAAGTGAGGCGAAAACGGACTTTGCACCTTCCCCGTGTGAGTAAGGCACACAAAAAAGGAGACCGAAGACCCCTCAATGATTGTCCATTCTACAATTTGACTTATCGTTTCGATGAGTTGCCGCTGGACCCCGTCAAGGAGTTCATGATGGAGAAAATATGTGAGTAAAATAAGAGAAAGAGGAAGGCTTGGAAGTTTCTTAAACACATTTCTTGCAGCTCACATGCAAACTGACAATATTGTTGGTCGTTGTAATCGCGAGTTTGAGCTCCACTCATACGAAATGGTCGATGTGAAGACTTTGTACGAGGAGTGCGACGATGATAGCCTGAAGGACCTTGAGCTGGAGGATATCGTAATGCCAGAGAAATTCGAAATGCTCCGCGATGCCAAGGATCATAAATACAATTTTGATAAATCAGGTGAGAGAATGGGCATGAGAGCTGCTAATACCTGACCACAAGCTACAAACTGCAACACATTGTTATAAAATTAAACAACATATGCGCATTAAGGAACAAATTACAATTCGCCCATGCCATGAGATTCAAACAAATTGCCAGACATTTCATGTAATTCAATGAGCACAAACAAGGACAAAAACTGCGCCAACAACTTTACCACAAAAACATAACACATAATACTTTATTAAATGTGGAAAACATGCGCGCGAGTTCGACTCTCACTTCTTCTCTGAGCCGGTATCCAAGAGCCAGCACAACTCGATGGAAAATTGCTCACCTGTAAACATAAAAATTTTAAACATTATCCTTTTAACATAAAATTTTATAGCCAAAAAAAAAACAACCAAAAAACAAATGCGTATGACATTTATTTGAATATCCTTTGGGAGTGCAAGGCGACGCAGTGGAGCATTGGACGGGGGACTGGCAGCATGTTTATCATAGTATTTTATTTAGCATTTACATACACATTGCTTTGTACTCTTTCCCAAAAGAGTTTGGTTAGATATTTCTAAAGGAATGGTATCATTCCTTATAACAACAGGCCCTCGAAAAATATGTTCGGCTGCTTTCCATTTGGGCGCCTCTATGAAGAGCGATTCGACTCAAAAATAAATAGTAGTAAATAATTATTTGGGAGTGTTTGAATTAAAATGTACATTTTGGACGGAACCTTCCGACTTCAGTTTATACTCAGATTTAAAGACACATTTGAAGAACTAAATTAAAACGTCACTTAACGAAATATCAAACATATATTTAATTAATTAATTTAATTTGAAATAATATTGCTCACAATTTAATTTATATATTTGTATGTATTTGTTAAGTAATTTTTTTTACCCAAGGCTGAGTTTTAAAATTACTTGATTGCTGTTTCATTTGCCCTTCCCCTTTTGCCAATTTTAACCAAAAATAGAAACGGGTTCAATGGTATTTTTTTTTCAATAAAATTATAATATTAATTTAATAAAATAAAGAAGCTAACAAAATGTTTTCGCACATCCCAAAGCTAGTAGTATAAATAACTTGAAAGTGCAGCAATCTGCAATGCCTAAAATTTTTAGATAAGTAAAAACAATAACGATTCGAATGTAAATATTAATTAATTCAGCAATAATATTGGCTATTTCTTATAGTTTCTGTATTACTCAAAGAAAAGCTTATCTAGGACTTTAAAAATCATTTCCTTTTTGTTTAATTATTTATGCAAATTTTTCATCACACGGCGGACTTTCATACATTATTTTGTAATGTTTTGTCATGTATGTAGTATTTAGGCATATAGCGCAAAATGGTAGAGTATGTATGATGCGGCAAGCATATGAGTAAGTTCGAGGGCATTTTAGCTTGTTTTTGCTTCTGTTTGGGCGACTTTGTGATAAAAATGTTTCATTTTGCGTATAGTTTTTTAATATTTAATGCCAGCAATGGATATCTGTAAATGCAAATATAAGCATAGATGGGAGTTCAGTGGGATGTGGCCAATAAGTGAATGCGTGGGTGACCGTATCGTTGGGATGTGCGCATAAAAACATGTTGTCGATAAACATTAACATAAAAATGTGACAAACAGCCAGACAGGGAGTAGTGGGAGGCGGAGTGACACACACAGAGCGGGTGTGGGAGAAGTTGAAGGCATGTCGCATAGTCCATTGGCTAAATGACCTCTGGGATACAAACAAAATGGCGACAACGACAGGATATTGGGCTGTAAACCGAAATGAAAATTAATTTGAGTTTAATCATTTTAAAAGCGAATTTCGTTTGCGCCGACTTTCATAATAAAACAATTTCGCATATTTACATATTTACACTGCCTTTGAGCTTAAAAAGCAAGAAAATCAAATATGTGAAATGAACACACATATACACAAACGCACACACACATAGAGTCACACATAACCATTGGCATTTGCGACATGCAATTTGCAATTGCACATATCAAGTTTGTGTGCAAATATTAAATATTATGTTGCCTTTTTCACACAGCCTGTAATCAATTTCCCTGGATTGACAAATGGATGACTGGCGGTAATAAATTTTCATATTTACATTGCCTGCATTATTAAAAGTTTGCCACCCCAAACGCAATTACGCACACATCCACACTCCCTAACCTACAGTGCGTCCCAGCGAGCAGGAAATTTTCGAAATGACCACCGAACTTCTGGAAATATACCGACAACGTCGGGTTCGCATCTTTTACTTTGACTCCGGCACCCGTTCTTCGCTTTGGACCAATCAGTTGCGGCGCCAGCATGGAGGTCCTTCAGAGCTGATTGGCTCCTACGTCACACACACGGCCCGGCACTTACGCGTCAAAACACTGCGCAGCCAGCCTAAGAAGAAGAAGTTTGAGCCCGGCGACCACTATGCCCTGCGTACGGTACAAGGTGAGTAATTGTTTAATATTAGCACTAAAAACGTTAAATTTAGGAGTTATGATGATGAACTGTCTTCCACATATCTTTTAATTTTGCAAATTAGTTTAAATACAAGCAGGAGAAAACAGCTCATCTCATTTATACAAGTACGTAACGTACTTAACATTTTTCTTTTACATTAATATATCTGTGAAAATGATTGAAAATCTTCTAATGGTCCTCATTGGAATTAAATAATTCTCGATTATGATAACTTCATGTAAATATTAGGAAACATTTAGAAATATAATGTTACAGTTGGGCAGACCCGAAGTATCCTATTATATACCCCAAAAACCGTTAGATGCTCTGTGATGTGCGTTGTTTTCCGAGCGCACATCATAAGCAAAAGAAAAATGTCGAATCTTAATTTGAATATATCGCAGAATGTCGTAATGAGCTGATCCGTATGGGAAAAGTCATAGACGAACTCATAGAACCAGAGCTCGCTGAAGCGAAGTATAACATTGAAATGGGTCGCTTGAAGTATCCAGACCCACTCAGTTGTGATAAGAAAGCTGAAATCAAATTGAAGAAAGTAAGTCCATAAATTGTATGTCAATCTAACATATTCATGATTGATAACAAATTGTTTTATTCCCATGCCATATATAGCATCCGCCAAAGTGCAAGGTGACCACCAATCGTATAAAACGCAAGAACTTTAAATCTGATGAGGAGTTTCTTTTGTGCCTAAAGAAGATGGAGGCCACGTAAGTAGATTTTTGAAGCTCAAAAAATTAAAACAGAAGAAGCATTTCAAATTTGTATTTAAAAATATTAGAGAATATTGATGCATTTTTGAGGACTTTTATTAAAAATGATCAATTTTCCACATTATTGAAACGCATTAAGGTGAAATGGAAAAAGGCTCAATATTTCCACACATGTGTTTAATGCAAGTTCAGTAAATAATTTGAAAAAATAATTCGACCCTTTAGTTGGATTGCATTAGGGTTTTAATATTTAATGAAAAAAGCGGGAAAAATGCAAATATGACTAAATACTATATTAATGGAATTGCATTTTTTAATTCTTTAACCATTTATGTCTCATGTTTTGCAGACACTTTGCTTATTTAACACCCCTGCAACCCGTTGAGCCAGAGGAACAGAAACAGAAAATATTAAAGGATTATTACAAAAGGTTGCAGATTGCCCAAGAAAAGTTCACTCTAAAGATAGAGAAGCGCTACAAATGTCTCCTGCGTAGTGTGAGTAACAAAAGGGGGGGTGGGGACGTTAATTTTAAGAGTCAGCAACACGTGCCGTAAAAAAATTTTGAATAATGCAACTGTTGGCCGCAGACACGTTATGAACAAAAATATACCAGTCGACCACTCTACGACTGACCAAAATCATAAAAAACACATCAAAAATGAACATCACACACACGCAAACATAAATAACTTTTATGCGTCTCCCATGTTGCCGTCCGAGCCAAAGCGGGCGTCCAAGCTCGAGTCGTACATAAAAAATGATAATAACAAACTTAATACAACATAAATATGTTTGTTTGTCTGGCTGTGTGCGTGCGAGTAAATTAAGCTTCGCTGGCTTTTGGCTTGGTAAGCGCTGAGAACGTGCTTATAAAAATTATAATACTATAATTCATACCTCGTAAACATTATGGACGCTCGTACTTCGTCCTGCTGTGGGTGTCGGCGATGGCCAAAGTTATGAATAACGTGATTAGTTGTAAAAAAAGAGAAGTAGAAAGCGCCGGCATGGGAGTTGCGAAGAACACACAAAACCACACCAAACCCGTACATACTTACAATTTGATAACGTGTTTATGGGCTTTTTGTGACCAAGCATTCAGTGTTAAACGCTCTACCCATTCTCTGACCCCCTACAGATCTCCATACTGCAATTGGAAACGTACCCCTCGCACTTGATACGCAAGACCATATGCTACGTTAATCCGCGCAATCCGCTGCTGTTGGAGGCCTACGACTTCATACTCAAGGAAGAGGTGAGTATGTCAACACATTGCCACCTACTTCAGAGAGTCGACATTATTAGCAAACTTGACTCACGTACGTAAGTTTTGGACAAACTTTTCGGCAAGAGCGATGGCAGCCAGGAGTGCATATAAAATACACCACTCCTTCGAAAGACTCGACTGATAAACGGGTAGTGCTTACGTTCTGAAGGTTGCGCCAAACAAACTTTACTTTTCCTATAATACATACATACTTATATGTATATATACAAAGTATACAGTATACAAGCTCACATTTGTTGCTCAAGTCAAACACTTGCCATCAACTTGGAAATCAGTGCTTAAGAGTTAATGAGTAGGAAGACACTCGCAGCTGTCTGACTGCTCCCCCTAAATATTTTTTGTGGATACAGAGAAACATAAATGAGTGCAAAAGATTTGCGATGATAAGCAATGAAGGGATTTTGTACTTATACTCTTAAACTGTCCAATCTGTAATTTTGCTCTCGCCAGCTTACATTTTTATCAAAGAAGGCAAATAAATGGATTTTTTAAAGAGTTCTATATAGTATTTTCCGTTGAACATTTGAAGAAGTTATCTTTGTCTCTAGCGAATCTATATACCCTTTACTGTTTCTCAAATCAGAAATTGTATTCCTACATTAATATCGATCGCATGTGACCTCATTTATACTCTTAAACTGTCCAATCTGTAATTTTGCTCTCGCCAGCTTAAATTTTTATCAAAGAAGGCAAATAAATGGATTTTTTAAAGAGTTCTATATAGTATTTTCCGTTGAACATTTGAAGAAGTTATCTTTGTCTCTAGCGAAGCTATATACCCTTTACTGTTTCTCAAATCAGAAATTGTATTCCTACATTAACATCGATCGCATGTGACCTCATTTATACTCTTAAACTGTCCAATCTGTAATTTTGCTCTCGCCAACTTACATTTTTATCAAAGAAGGCAAATAAATGGATTTTTAAAGAGTTCTATATAGTTTTTCCGTTGAACAATTGAAGAAGTTATCTTTGTCTCTAGCGAAGCTATATACCCTTTACTGTTTCTCAAATCAGCAATTGTATTCCTACATTAACATCGATCGCATGTGACCTCATTTGGACTATTGAAATACCTTCAGGTAAACGAAAGGTTAATAATATAACAAACTCTTTTTAAAGTGTAGGCGAAGGGGTGATTATATTGTTTTGGTACGGGAAATAAATACGACGTGTATCCCACCATCCGCTGTTAGATAACGCTTTAATCAACTCATTACAGAAACAGTGGCCCAAACTTCCTCCAGAAGTTATATTAATGGATTATCTGTTTGGAGGCGACCATAACGTACGACAAAACATTGCCGTGTTAATTATTGTATGTCTTATTGATCTGCAGGAAGATTTTCGTTATCACGTAAAGCGTGCTTTCGTACGCTATCTGCTTAGGTGAGTAACTTATTTTCCTTAAGAAGCAATCGCTCACAATTGCATGAGGCACAGATCCAATTTGGAGCGCAAACGTCTGCAGCTGGAGATGGAACCCCCCGACTTTCCTGTGCTCACCATAATGCCACCAGTGCCATGGCGTACCAACTTACTGACCTGCAAGGGTCGCATTGGACAAGTTTTGATGATCACACATCCGACAATACGAGCACTGAACCTGCTCTGGCATCAACTATATGGTGATCTAGTTATTGTGGATATTGCAAAGCTACTGCTATCGGATCAACCTCTGAATGCGGACATTGTTTCAGAGTTTGTGAAAAAGAGTTGTGCAGAGGTGCGAGACGTAAGTGCATTCAAAAAGTTACTTTCGGAAATGGGATTAATGCGATTCTATCGGCAGATTCTAATTAATGATTGGCTGCCGCGTTGCGCCGATCTGATGAACCTGATGCGCAATACCTGGAAAGACATGGTGCCTATGCATGGAAAGTTCGGCGGCAGGGGCGAAGTGCTCTTCAATTGTGTGCACTCGCTGATGTCTCGGCATCTGTACAGCATCGTGCAGAAGAGCTTGAAATATCTGTTTAAGGTTATCTGTGCATACAAGGTGAGCCAACAATGTGTTCCCTTTCCTAAAACCTCTTCTCCATTTGTGATCAAATATGATTGACATATGCTTGCTGTTTTCGTTGGGAAACCAATTACGATTATTGCGTTGTTCCTAACATTTTATTTTTTCACCAGGGTGGAAATGATATTGAGAACTATAACATGTTCGACCCGAAACTTGGACGCCGACCACTCATGACGCTCATTGCCTCAGTTGTGGGCGCCCATTTCGATAATGATTTTATAGAAATGGGCCCGGGCACGCGGCCTCCTGAGAACATCTATGTTTTTGATAGCGATGATGCGGATCCTTTTCAACAGCCGTTGGTCAATGTGTTTGTTGAAACAACACCCGATATTGATGAAGTGGCACAGTTTGAGTTGGATTATGCGAACAAACTCTATATCTATCCGTATATATTGGAGCTACCGCACATATTCACGGAACACTTTACGGCAATTTTGCGAGTCGGCTATTATATACCGCGACTGGAGTATGTCATGTCAGGCGAAGGTGTGTGGTAGTTGAAATATTTAATATAATTTGCGAATAAAGCTCATTATCGTATATAGATCCAGAGACAGAGGGCTATTTACAATTTATCAGTCAAGACCATGGGGACTTTCAAGAACTGTGCACAAAGGTTGAAGAAATTGTTGCGCGCAATTGGCGCGGTATCTTCATTTATCTAAAGCCCATATATATGTACTATTATGCCTTATTTAACAAAATGATAAGGCCTGTGGTGGAAAAAATCTGGACTGATAATACATTACCAGATTTGACGGTGAGTACTGCTATAAATTTGTATCTGTGACGATAAAAGTCTGGTATAAGAAGTCGAGGTATAGAAAAACGAGGTACAATGTCTGTCTGTGCCTCATATTTTTCTGTTCTTATTCTCTAAAGTCGAAGTCGGAAAATGTCATAGAACTAAAATACTATACTATATCTCTTCATTTCGTCGATTCGATTGGAGAGCTATATCTCTTCATTTCTCAAAACGACTAAAAATGTTTCTTTTAAAATCCATTAAGAATATTTGAATGCTATGAAGAGGCATTTCTTCGTCCACTTCACAAATGAAATAAGCTTGGTTTGAAGTTTATTTGGAACGTTCACAACTTTTTCTCTAAGTGTGTAACTGTCAAAGCTCGAAGTGTTCGCCCTGCGCTTTCGCGTCTAGAAATGAGTTTAATTATTTATTTCGATTTGATTATACGCAATGATGCGTAGAATTAACATAAAATTTCATTATGCAATATTAATAGACCGCCGACAGACTGATGGACTGAATGAGAGGCATACGCTTGACTGGTACGGGGGAGTGGGACTCTGATGCTGTTTTGTCAAGCATCTGACTAAAAGTTTAAATTGCCTGTGTACGCTTGCACACTGCATTCTTGATGTTGTTGATTTCTGGTATTTATCGTTTGCAGTGCTGCGATGAACAATGTTTAATTAAACATCGTTCGATTTGCGCAAAAGAGTCAATTGTCGCATCGTTATGAAGGTATTTCAGTTCTGAAATATGTACAATATTTAATGCATGACAGTATTAAATGTATAGCCCTAACGATGCATATGTGTTCGCATTGCTCATACGCAGCGTATGCCACACTCACTCATTTGCCCCATTTGCAACCGATATAGTACATCTGTACACATCTACATACATACATACATTCATGTATATGTCGTGTTAATGTATATGCGCCGACTTATGTGCCTTTGTAACCGTTCACATTCATTAAGTTTTATGAAACGGCCGACAATTTCCCTTTTTTGCGCAATTTATTTAAAATAAAAATTGCTTCCGACTACTGCAACTCCACCCGCACCCGCACCCGCACCCGCACCCGCACCCGCACCCATGACGCCCAATCGAGAGAGCGCGTCGTGCCACATGATGCATGTAATGCGAGCGTGTATCTCTCTGTTCGCGTATGTATCTCTGTTTTTTATTAAATGTGTATTCATTTACATGTGTGGCTGCCAACAACAAATACAAAAATAAAAACAACGACGACAACAACAGGTTGTTCAGGAGTTAATGAAAAAATTGCGCGCCGTCAGCGATACGACCTATTATCTGCGTGATTTTATACCGTTAAACATGTTCATGCTGGATAATCGACATGTTAAGGCCTCAATACGAATGTACGTGCAGGAGATCTACGACTTCATAATTGATTTTTATAAGGCACTGAATCTGAACGAGAATCGAGCGTAAGTAAAGCGAATGAAATGCATTTAACTCTAGTGATTTCCGTAGTTGTTGTTTTTGCTTGAGCTCACTTTTTGCTGACTCTCCAAGCTCGACTCGTAGATGGGCTCCTAATACCCTGTACTCTAAGAAATAAAAGATAGACTAGCGACTTTAAAATATATTTAACAGGAAGAAGGGCGCATGGGAATCATTTAAACTATAATAGATAGATACAACAAACATTACATGGTTTAGTAGAGTCACCAGAGGCAAAATTTATATCATGATAAAAGCATTATGAAATAGAGAAAATCACCATTTCACAAAAAATAGTAAGGGACCAAGCGACTGTACTCTAAGGATTAAAGGATAGACTAGCGACTTTAAAATATATTTAACAGGAAGAAGGGCGCGTGGGAATCATTTAAACTATAATAGATAGATACAACAAACATTACATGGTTTAGTAGAGTCACCAGAGGCAAAATTTATATCATGATAAAAGCATTATGAAATAGAGAAAATCACCATTTCACAAAAAATAGTAAGGGACCAAGCGACTGTACTCTAAGGATTAAGGGCGCATGGGAATCATTTAAACTATAATAGATAGATACAACAAACGTTACATGGTTTAGTAACATCGGCAACATTTATATCATGATAAAAGCATTATGAAATAGAGAAAATCACCATTTCACGAAAAGTAGTAAGGGACCAAACGGTTAAGCTTTTTTTTTTTACAACTATGAATTACAGATTGATTCATTTTCTAGTGACATAACATTTACAAATTAAGTTAATTGAAGCCTTTGTAACTGTGGGGTGGGTACAGGGTATACGAATGTTGGGCGAATACAGTGGTCGGAGTTTTTATAAATGCATTCGCCATTTACTTTGTATTTTCTGCCACCTCAGCATCTGCGAGGAGCTCGAGGAAATGTCGATGAAGGCTGGCGAGCGACCAGAGGAGACGCCCGAAGTGGTGGCCCTGCAAAACTATATATCTGAGTGCCGGGAGATGCGCATATTCGCCATAAAAGATGAAATCAAGAACGTGTTGAAGCGGGTCGTATTCCTGCTGACACATGCATACCTGTCCGGTGAGTAATAGTTGGGGGTAGAACCGGGTTGGATTGGGTCTGTGGACAACTGTTTGTGCAGCTGTTAAGTGGTGGTTAGGAGCCTGGCTGGCTGCTGTCGATAGTTTGTTTTTGACTACTATGTTTACCTTTCCTCTGTGCCGCTCATATATGCATTTATACGTATCCATGTATGTGTATGTGTGTGTGTGTGTGTATATGTGTGTGTGTTCTTTGCTCGCAGCCCCCACCGCTCGCTTAACGTAATTAACCTCAACTAACAAGCCGAGTCTACTAATTGGTTTTATAATTACTTGCGGTAAGACACCAAACACTGAGCTTCGTTAAAACCCCGAAAATGCAACTTAATGAGCTTAACAAATTCATGAATGTGTGAAAGTTGCTTTGACAACCGACAAATGCAGACAAAACCCTAACGTACATGAACACACACACACACACACACCCACACACACACACACATATATATATATATATAATCGCATACACACTGCTATTTCACACACAATGGTGAGTTATTGTGAAGTGTCGTGTATATCTTTGAAATAGCTACAATGTATTGTCAGTCTGTCTGTTGATCTGTGTGTCTCTCTGTTTGTCTGTCTGTCTGCCTGCCTCCCTGTATGTCTGAATGTTTCGTGTGTACGTGTGCGTGGCTTTGTGTCTATGTCACACCAAATATCATCAGCGTACACTCACCTACCCATGCCCAAGCCCACACCCACACCCACAGCCATACTTGTCTATTTGGTTTATGCTCGCTTCGCATTGAATTGTCGCACGTCTGGGGGCATATATAATTAATTAGTTTGCCCAAAACGCAGACACTGCGTTGTGTCAACAACAAGAAAGTACCAAAAACAAATGCAAAAAAACACACAAAAAAAAAAAAACGTAACCGTCGTTATTCAGCCAATTAATTAAGAGTTGAGTAGAACTAATTAAGAATATAACTGCGCTTTCGGTCTTCCGAGTATATGTGCAACAAGCAAACATTATGTGCCTTCTCATCCACTTGGCTGTCGCCAACAGACGACGACATTCATCTGAACACGCGCACCTTCATACTGCCTGGTGAACTGGAGGAGGTTCTAGATCTCAGTGCGGCTCGTTTGGCCGTAGTGCGGGATAACCTAGAAGCAGCTTTGCGGTAAGTAGGGCAGATCTAAGTGGCTATAATGATCTCAAACGATCTGGCATTTTCAGTGAGCGTCGAGCCCAATTTGAAAAGCTCCTAATACAGGAGAAACGCACCATGGATGGCTTTCGCATTAAGGAAATACGTGATGTTATTACACTGGAGGATCTCAAGGAGCGTGTGGACACCGTCGATATGCTATTCAATACTATAGAGGTCAGTTGTGTTGACTGATTTGCCATTTAAAGCTTATTTATTCGTATATACTTATATTTAGTGTAAAACTAGTTCTCATTAAGGACAGCTTAATAATTAAGCTACTATGAATTTCAGTGTAATATTTGAAAGTTTTCTTAATCCCATTCTTAGAATTTAAGCCGTGAGGCCAAGGCCATAAATGTGGAAGAGACCTTGTTACAAATCGACGTATCTGCCTTCCCGCTACTGGCGGAAATCATTGAGAAAATGGAACCAATTGAGAAACTTTGGAAGACATCGTATGAATTTGAAAAGGATTATCTCATTTGGTAAGCAATGACAGCATTTAGACCAACTGCAATTATTTGGTCACAGATGTCAACAACAAGGACACTTGGCCTGGCACAAATGACAAAATATTTGAAATTGAAGTACTTGGCCAAGTACCTGGTCGTTTCTGTCGTGCAAAATCCAAATGCAAATGCTGGTAGAAAGTTTACTTGAAGTGCGTCAGCCAAAGCTGACGGAAAATAGCCAGATTTGGGATTGACTGCTGCCTGCCATCCCTGTACGTCCCTCGAGACCGGACTGGCACTGACTAGGACCGAGGCTGACTGGCAAGCAGCACTTGCAAGACCGAATCTGGCTTGCATATTGTGTAGCAGTTCTATTTACAACTTTGCTCCCTATATTGCGTCTAGTTCTTTTTTTTTATTTTGTGGTGCCTTTTCATCCTCAACATTTCTTCTATTTTTGTTGTGGTGCTGCAGGATGTTCGAGCGCTTCGAATGCCTAAATGCGGACGGCGTGAGGGAACAGGTGGAGAATATGCACAAGGTAAGTAGTTCCAAGTCGGAAGTTGTCGTTGGCAGTATTAGACGGAAATAAAAACGAGCAACGAGCGACAAAGTTTGAGTTGTTGTCGGATTCCAGTTGCACTCTCGCTTGTCCGCGACAGTGTCATGTACTCGTATACATATGTGTATGTGTGTGGTAGTCTGCTAGTGGGCCAGTATGGCAACTAAAAACTTCAGGTGGTACCAACAGGCTGCCAAAAAGTATGCTACACCAACTTTTAAGATACGTGAGCTATTTAAAAAGTTCGCAGATCTGTAAAGATTCTGTTGATTCTTAAATTAATTGATACATTTCTTAGTTAAAGAGTTTTTAAAATTTATAGTTGGTAGGGAAAGCGGCGAGTCAAGAGATAGAGCTTATAACAAGTAGTTAGTTTATAATCGCAAATGGGTTCGACATTTTCAATTCAACCCTCGTTTGGCGTGGTGAGCAAGAACGCAGTCTGTGTAGCAAATGTTGTGGTACAAAAGAGAAAAGAGCACTTGAATTGAATTTTTCGGCTCAGTTGAAGCGGCAAAGTGAAAACACTAGGGAACTGGACAAAAAAGGAAAATGTGAAGCGTAAAGTCATCGGGCGACATTGGTTGCGAAAGCCACCAAAAGAGAAGTCGCCCAATTTTGACTTTTAAAGCTGCTGCTTCGCTGCCGTTTTAGTGGCACGCCTGTTCGACAGTTGTTTGACCCACACGCCATGTACCATCGCACCCACTGATATTTATTCCTTGTACACCCTCGCGTACAGATAATGTACAAGCTGTCACGTCAACTGGCCTACAATCCTGTAGCAAAACGTGCCGCTGAACAGATGCGCATGAAAATCGAGAAATTCCGCGTCTATCTGCCCGTTTTGGACTCGATTTGCCGACATGGCCTAGAGAAACGTCACTGGGATCTGATTTCGGAGCACTTGGGACGCAAGTGCAGCCCCAAGCTTTTCCCCACGCTCAAGGACATGATTGACGCGGACATTATGAGCATATTGCCGCAACTGGAGGAAATTGCCAACGCTGCGGGCAAGGAGTACGATCTGAACATGGCACTGAAGAATATGCAGTCTGACTGGAAGGACGTCATGTTCGAGGTACTGCAGTATCGCGACTCGGACACGCATATCCTGGCCGGTATAGACGATATTCAAACACTGCTAGATGACCATATTATGCGAACACAGGCAATGAAACGCTCGCCATTTATTGTGGCTCTGGGATCAAAAGCTGATGAGTGGGAAACGCGGTTGTTGCTCATACAGAACATCATCGATGCGTGGACACAGGTGCAGGTAACATGGATGTATCTGGAACCTATTTTCAGCTCTGAGGACATTATGCGTCAAATGCCACTGGAGGGGCGAAACTTTAAAGCGGTGGATAAGACGTGGCGACGCATTATGAAGAACACACTGCTGGATAGACATGTTATGGCGGCAACCGAATACCCAGACATGTTAAACATTTTCTTGAAGGCCATCGAAGACTTGGAAACCGTGCAGAAGGGTCTCAACACTTATTTGGAACAGAAGCGTCTGTTCTTCGCCCGCTTCTTTTTCCTCTCCAACGATGAGTTGCTGGAGATATTGTCAGAGACAAAGGATCCTATGCGTGTCCAACCACATTTGAGAAAATGTTTCGAGGGCGTGAGTTAAGAAAATTGTGTAGATTGCTAAAGCTCTCAGTCGATATCTTGCAGATTGGTACGCTCAACTTTGATGAGAGCATGGAGATAACCGAGATGATCTCCGATGAAGACGAGCGCGTGGCTCTCGTGCGCAAAATCAATCCACAGGCGGCAAATGTGCGTAACTTGCGCCCCCGAGTGGCACCCACGAAGTATAGCCTTCTCTTTTACATTGCAGGGTCTCGTTGAGCTCTGGCTTAAGGAGGTGGAAATGGTGATGTTGGACAGCATGAAACAGCAAATGCGTGAGGCATGGGAAGACTATGCAATGGTGGAGCGAATTCCTTGGGTAACCACCTGGCCAGGACAGGTGGTGCTGGGAATTTCGTGCATGTGCTGGACCTACGAGGTAATTTCAACATCTATTTTCACTTTATTATCTCTTTTATTCCGCTGAATTATAAAATGATTTTGGCTCTACACTCCACGGCTCCCAGCCACAAAATCATTTTCTGTTACGTTCAATTGCCTTTACAGCAGCAGTGAAAAGCACATTTCGTCCTTTCTGTTACAGTTCTTCAAACTCCTTTTGAGCATGTGTGTGTATAATCTCTATGTATGCTTGTTGATTTTACTTGCAGGTGGAAGAGGCCATCGAGAAGAAGACGATGCCACAGTATTTGGAGAAGTCCAATGCCCAAATTGGCGACTTGGTGCAATTGGTGCGCACGGATCTACATTCGGGAACGCGCATCGCTGTCGAGGCGCTGATTGTGCTGGACGTGCACGGTGGGTAGACTTTGTCTTCAGCTTCATATAGCAGGTTGGAATATTGGCGCCTTCTTTTCTAGCCCGTGATGTGGTCAAGTATCTGGTTGATATGAATGTGGCCAATATACAGGACTTTGATTGGATTTCACAGCTGCGCTACTATTGGAAAGTGGACGATAGTAAGTAATTGTTTGATAGTCCATATTACCATCATTTGTTTGTCATTCATTCGAAATTTGAATTGTTAATCTAGAAAACAACGGCTAGAAAACAATTTAGTTTTGTTATTTTTGATTCACTAATGTATTACATAAAAGGAAAGCGAATCTGCGGCCTTATAATTCGATGTACATTTAAATGAGAAAGTGTAACGAAAATAAGTACAATTTCTTAGACGTTAAACAATAGTTGATTGGCTTGAAATGCAAATAGAATCGTTACAAATTTATTAAAATTATTTTGTCAAGTATTTCTTTTCTTTCGAGAAAATATTGAGATTTAGCTGCATTTGTATTGAACATAGCTATTTGAATATTTATTATTCAAATTAAAATAATACTTGTGGAATACCTAATATGAGTAGGAATAGTTTAGTAAAAAATTGTGAAAATCTGATATACAATAGGTTATTCCATCAATTTTAAATTATTTCTTAAGATAAGTATTAATTTTTTTTCATGAAAATATTCGGTTAAATTTAACTATTTACATATGTTCCCAACTATTTCTCTTCAGCAATTTATAGTATTATCCTGCATTATTCCACAAAGAGTTAGTAGTGTTTTCTATCTGATCGATTTAATGTTTTTATTTAACAGAAAATGAAGACTGGGTTTGCGTTAGTATGGTGGTCACTGATGTTAAATATGGCATGGAGTATTTGGGAAACGTGCCACGCCTGGTTGTGACTCCCCTTACCGATCGATGCTACCGGTAAGTGTATGGCGCAAGTTCCGGTTTCAGTTTATTTACGCCTCTATGTCACACTCCCAAGCTCTTGTATAACAAAAATATTAATTGACAACTCATTGCACAGCTACAGCTGCACACATCCGTGTGTGTATTGGGCCGAATCCCTCCTAACTGGGCAAAGTCATGAAAGCTAACGTTTATTGGGAAAATATTTATTTTATTTCATTGCATTTTAAATTTATTTCCATTTTTAAACAAAATGCGCAAAAAGAGCTGAAAACCTTTTTGATGTTTAAGCTGCCCTGCCGACGACAAATACACACACAAACACACAAGCAACAACAATAATAATAACAACATAACAACGTTGACGACATACATACATACTACATATACACCCAGAGACAGGCAGGCATACAGTGGCAAGCTGGCAGAAAGGACAATTTAATGGGGTTTCCGATAAAACTTTTATATTAAACAAATAAATCAATGTTGGACAGTTTTTCACACACAGATACACCCATACGCAGACACGGCTAAAAAACGAGAGGCAGAAATGTATGTATAGATATTTGTGCCGTTATGCCGGAAAAGCTAAAAAATACACAGCGCGACTCCGACGCTGGCCGCGTTGCCAATATGATAAAAAATATGAACTTGCAAAACAAACCAAAAAAAAGAAGGAAAATCTAAGGGAAAAAGACGAAGGGCGGGTAAAATGGGGAGGGCGGGAAAATTGTCATAAATGACAATTTTTTAAGCCTGAAAATGTGAAAAAATGGAAAATAGGTATTAAAAGCATACTACACTTACATACTACACTTAGCATGATATAAAGACACACATTTGCCCGAGGTATAGCAAATTTCGATAGTCCAGAAGTTGTGGAACACACGTTTACAATCGATTTTACACAATCCTTTGTTATAGAATATCAGCTTATAGTAATACTAATTGATTGCATACTCGCAAAATTAGAAAGGCCGCCATCTGGAAGGGGTGATCTTTTCATATCTATTCCAAAATACTTTTTCCAAAAGATCTTTAATGGCTCAGCTATTGTAGGAGACACGTTCTGTTTTGAAATTTCAACACATCACCCTAACCACTTAATAATAGTAATGGGGGGTAATATATATATCCAGAATTTACCCACATACTTTGATGGTTCCTTAAAATAACAATACATTTTTTGTATGCTTTCCAGAACTCTGATGGGAGCTTTAAAACTCTGCCTTGGAGGAGCTCCGGAGGGTCCGGCCGGTACTGGAAAAACAGAGACTACCAAGGATTTGGCAAAGGCTGTGGCTAAAAAGTGCGTAGTCTTCAATTGTTCGGACGGCTTGGACTATAAGGCGCTGGGCAAGTTCTTTAAGGTGAGTGAGTGAAGTTGATGAAAAAAAATAGAACCGACGACTGCCTTTCACTTGGCGCGACGCGCAGTCTACCACTCACTACGCATATCTAATTGATGGCGGAGTCTTGTCAACAACATTAATCAAACAAAACCAGTCTGTAGTAGCGACGCACAGTGGGAAAAATAATAGTTATACCTTTGAAGGCCTATGTTATGAGAAAAATATTACTATAGCGTGATGAGGCGGATCAGTTAACGACAAGTCCATCACGTATCTGTGCGATACTGTGCCGTCTTTATTAGGTACAAATTTATTTATCTACTATACATATCAAGTCAGTAAGTCCATCAAAGCAGATCTTTAGGAAAAAGTTCAGTTCTTCGCGTAGCAGAAGCTTTTAGGATACAGTTAAAAATACATTAATTAGAAAACAATCCTCGTCGACCGAAAACCTTGTAGTATGCAGAATTATTTCTCTATTTATAGGTCGATTTTTTTGCCATTAAGTGTACCTTATATCAATTTATTACGGAACCTCCATTTTAAAAAAATTGTTTTCCGATTTGTTTGATTTTAAAACAAATCAAAATGCTAAATGGATTTCTACTAAGAAGAAAATGTCAAGATATAAGTCTGCACGCAAACGAGCTTAAAAGCACGTATTTCTTGAACAAATATTAAGAGACATTAAATGGAGTATTTTATGGTTTTATAAATGCCATCCACTGTGCGGCAAAAGCGGCCCGAGCAACAATGACTTTTAATACATACTATACATACACGCGATTCATTTAGCGAGGCAGGCAGATACTTAATTTGCCACACGCCGAGCTCTTGCCGTGTCAGACAGAGCGGAGCCGATGTCGCGTCGTCCAGTTATAGAGGAACTGGAACTTATTATGCAGGCTTTCATCGGTCGAGCTCTTTTTTAGTGCATGTTGACTAATGGCGGCGACTTGTGAAAGTAATGGTGGCCCATTCGAACTTGGCCACTTAAATTTATGCTAATTTGTATACGCAGGTCGTTAACCGATGTGCCGATGTGCACACACGAACACTTTTAAATATATGTACATATGGGCACACACTCGCGCTTACACTCACACTTAAGCATGTTTTAAGTGGGTGCTGATGCTTTCAATTAAAATTTATGTGTTTCCCGCTAATCGCTTAATTTGCCAGCAAGTCGTCGCAAATTTGTGTTGCCTAATTGCATAAGAAGTTTTAAGCTCGAAGCTGGCAGCTTCGGCTAGAACTGGCAAAGGCGCGCGCGACCCATCGACTCGATATTAATTTGCATGAAATTTGTATTAATGACAACAACAGCAATAACAACACCAACAACAAAATAACAACGAATGCAGATATAGATACAAGAACAAGAATACGCGAGCCCATAAATTGTAGACGCTTTCGACCGCGTTCGATTTAAATTAATGAATTTATTTTAGTGCTAGCCAACCAATAACTGGCTTGTTGTTCATTTTATGCGATTTATTCGCAATCCACTTTAAATTTAGCATTTGCTTAGTTTTTATTACCTAATTTTTGATCATCCCACTCTTGTTGCTGTAGTTTAGTTTTAGAAAGTAGTTTGAGACAGCTGAGTCATTAATCCGTTTCTTGACTCTGGCGCAAATGTGTCAATACATAAATTTTCATAAGTTTAAGGAAGCTATAATTCATAGACACGTGTCCGCCTGTCAATATTCTAAATTTTTCTAATTGTATTCTTGATTTTTTCAAATAGAATCTACTGATGGAGACAATACAATTGTGGGGTAAACATCGAAAATTGTTTTCTATTTGAAATGGCCAATAAACTAATTTGAAATTGAACAAATGTTCAAACAATTGCGATTTATGCTCCTTGAGATATGCCATGACAAATTATGTAAATAAATAAAATGCAAATAAAATGGTCAGAACAATGGCCACAGCTGCATCAGCAGCCATTCTGGCAAACTTGGGAAGTAAACAATGGCGCGTCCGGTGCATTGAATGGCCAAAAAGTTTTTAGTTTCCGTTTTCGGTTTCAGTTCACAGTTTTCAGTTTTCAGTTTGCTCGTGTGTGCTTGCTGGTTCGGCTGCGTGGGAGTCGGCCAAGGCGTACAGCTTTGATGAAGTTGAAATTGTCCAAGTTTTCGGTGTACCGATATTTGAAAGAAGAAGCAACACACACACACACACACATACACACACACAAACACAAACACGTATATTCGCTAATTGCACAATGGGAACAGAAAGTGCAGGAGCAACAACAAAAACAGCAAGAATGCCAACAGCAGCAGCAATTGCAACTAGAAAAAGCATGCGAACGCGCAACAGCATGTAAAACAGTTGTTGGTGCTGTTGTTGTTGCTGTTGCTGCTGCTGCTGCTGTAGACGGAAGCACCATGGACACAGCATATGCTCAACCCGTTGCTATTTTTGCTGCAGGATAAAGCAGCATATTTATTGCAACATGCAAAAGAAAGCATATCAAAGGGCGCACCAGCCCGCCTCTGGGCAACATTGGTAAACTTCGCTGCCGTTTGTCGAACATTGGCTAGCAGACGCACATACACATACCCACACACACACACACACATACACATTCGTGAATATGCACTGGTACAAAAGCAGCGTACTAAAATGAACAAACATTGGTAATTGAAATGCGTTTTGTATTTAAAGTGTCAACTCTAACTTGACAAGAAGAGAATAAATGAGTCAAATATTTAAGTCGCGCCCTGCTAGTATATACGATTTGGCATGTAGGTGGAAACAATCTTTTAAACTAAATTTGATTTGCTTACATTATTATTAACATTATTATTATGAGTTTCCAAAGTTGTTCGTATATATTGAAAGCGTGTAACGTGTTAATTACATTTTCGGTAAATAAATCAAGCTCTAAAAGAGTGTGATATCAACAAACGAGGTTTTGAAAGTTTCGTGAAGAAGGAAGCGGGGAAGTACCATCAGATAGACGGACTAACGGATATACCTGAATTGAATTGTCATATTGTACTTTATGGTGTCCCCGTCTTTAAAAACTATAACAACTTTACTATTTTATTAAAACACGTTTACGTGTACAGGGAATAGTCATTGCTCCAATATTTCTATGTATATATACAATTATTCTAATTGTATGCGGACTTTGATTCATTAATGAATTTCGTTTGTATTGATTATGAGTATAATATCCAAAAATACACACATTTAATTAAAAGTTCTAAGAACGCAATGAAAATTATATAAATATAAACAGTTATCTGTTCATCATGCTCTGTTTATAAAAATGCTATTACCTTTCTAAAAAAAAAAATAATTCTCCATTTTTTGTTTCTAAATTAAAAATTGTTTTAGTAACAATTTCACACAACTAACAATACCATTAATCTTATTTCTTACCTTTTTTGTTGCAAAATGAATATCAACATATTTATGCCAAAGAATATGGTGATTATCAGGAAAAGCTAAACATAAACAATAAAAATAATTCAAATAAAACATAGGTTTCTTACAAAATGCATGAAAAATGTTCACTAATTTTGTTTGGCGATTTATAGTAAGCTAATTGAGGATTTGCGTTCGAGATCAAATATTTATTCACTGCATTGAAAATCGGTTTCCAATATTCCTTATGTTATCTCTCTCTGTATGTATCTAGATACGTGCAGTTGGAACTAGCTAAGTGGTTCAAGGGCGCCCATAAAAAATTACGAAAACATTTTATAATAATAATAATAATAATAATAATAATAATAATAATAATAATAATAATAATAATAATAATAATAATAATAATAATAATAATAATAATAATAATAATAATAATAATAATAATAATAATAATAATAATAATAATAATAATAATAATAATAATAATAATAATAATAATAATAATAATAATAATAATAATAATAATAATAATAATAATAATAATAATAATAGCTTAAAAAAATATATGTATACAGAAAAATGAAATGCTTTTCTGGTCTGGAATACCTACAGAAATTAAATAAAGTAGACTTTTAAAAAATAATTACGTTCACTGCGGTGATTGAAGAAATAATGAGACATGGTTTCGTTTAGGATTTTCTTTCTCATCATCACCTAAATATTTCAAAAGCCATGGCTATTTATGTTAATATTACAGATTATTATATTTATTTTTATGTTTATTATATTATTATGTCAACAAAGATTGACTACGGACTAGGAAAACTAGGAAAAGCCTAAGTGGGAGAAATCTAATCAAATTACAATAATATATAATAAACGCCACTGACTCGGTGGGGAATATTATTTGCCATTCGGCTATAGCTATGCCACAGCCAAGTGTGGTCAGAGGCTTCAAAAAAGCTAAAGTAAAAGAAAAAACTGAACAGGGAGAGGAAGCTTACAATTAGTTAAAAGCTCATTTTTAAACAAAATATTATAAAACAAAGAAATAAATCTGTCAAGCTATGCTCGGAGTGTATAATGTTTTGAGGTTGGTGCTCTTGAGTTGTGTTTACTGTAAACGCACAGTCGCACGCAAAGCAACGAGTAACTGAAAATAATGTTTATTTTACTGTTTGCTTTTTCTACTTTTACCTTCCCCCCATCCTGAATACACTAGTCACTGTGCCTCGTGCTCTATTTGTGCAGCTCTTATATTTTTGCGAAATGTCTGAATTTTTTTCTCTTTTACATTTTTCAGGGCTTGGCCCAATCGGGCGCCTGGGCCTGCTTCGATGAGTTCAATCGCATCGAACTGGAAGTGCTGTCGGTGGTCGCGCAACAGATTCTAACCATACAGCGGGCCATTGGACGCAAGGTTGTGAAATTCTTTTTCGAGGATACAATGCTCAAACTGGATCCGACTTGTTCCATATTCATAACCATGAATCCGGGGTGAGTACTCGTCCTACTGGTGGGGGGCACAAACAGCAGCTGCGGTTTTACGCAGCACATTTTTGTACGCGGTTTTTTCCCTTCTTTCGGTTTATATGCTTTCTTTCTTATGTTATGTGTGTGCGTGTGTGTGTGTGTGTGTGTGTGTGTGTGTGTGTGTGTGTGTGTGTAGGAGCTGGCATTTGAAAATGCATTTAGTTACTTTGTAAGCCGACACGGCCTACAACAGCGTCCGGGCCGGTGTCATTGCCAGGCTGAGTGTGGAGGTGGGAGGCCCTTGCTATTAGCCATGCGGCCGATATGTGTTGGCCCTTTGTGCGTCATGCTTGTGCAATGCCAACAGAAGAATAGGAGGGCGGGTGGGCAGTTGAGCGGCACGATATTGGTTGTTATTGCGTTATTGGAGATTTTCCCATAGGGATATTTATTGCTTTGGCATGCATGTGGAACAGCTGCGACAAACATGCATATTAGTCGGGCCCAACGTGGCGTATACGCAACGTGTGTAGTCATAACTACGACGAGAAGCACTCACATACATACCTATGTATGTGTATAGGCTGGCAGCCATTGCTGTTAAGGTCTTAATTTCGTTTTCCAGCCTCTGCTAGGGCATTTGTGTGCGTTTGCTTTTCCTTTGCCGCTGCCAATGCCCATGACTTTGCCTTTGCCATGTCTGCTAGCTCACAGGACATATAAAAAAAGTGCAGCGTTTGGCTAAGGATGAGTGGTGTGTGAAAGGATGGTGAATTTTGTTTTACGTAGCCGTTTGTATTTCTTTTTTCCTTTTTGCTGCCAATTTGTCACGCAGGCCGATAGACGTCCTCAGAAAAAGGAGTTTTTAAGCTCAGGCTGCAATCCATATTGGTTATTGCCTGCATTCTGTGTTTAGTATTTATGCCATTAGCACTTTCAAGTTTGATGTATTTGATGTGCAGCGCCATTTTTGCTACTGCTGTTGCCATTGCTGAAGCTGTAATGAAAAGTGCCCGATTATGCCATAAGCTGGCCTAAGCGAGTTTCCACATACATACGACACATACAATGTCTAAGAAGAAATTGGTAGACGCATATAAAAGGCTTAGCATTAGTGCAGTGCAGAAAAGGCAGGCAAATCTTTAATTGCCCAATCTTCCTTATCGAAAAATCATTGAAAATTATTAAGAACTTTGTTAAGATAAAGGTTTCCAAATCCCTGCTTACAACAGTCTATAAGCCCTTTAATGGTTGAGCTGAAAGCAACACAACATTTCGATTTGAGCCAAACGTAAAAGCTATTTTCAACTCTTATTATTAATATGAACTAAAATAAGTATTTCCTGCAGAATATTTTTGATATACTATATTCCCAGGCTTATCTAATGAAATGTACTTTTCTTTAGCTATGCTGGTCGAACTGAGCTGCCGGACAATCTGAAAGTGCTTTTCCGCACAGTGGCTATGATGGTGCCGGATTACGCCATGATCGGCGAGATCACTCTCTACTCCAATGGCTTCGACATGGCACGTCATCTGGCGCAGAAGATCGTGCAGGCGTACAAGTTGTGCTCGGAACAGTTGTCATCACAGTCCCATTACGATTATGGTGCGTATGTATTGGAATTAGAGTGGGTTGGGGATGTGAAAGACGATGAGGGATTGGGTCTGATGGCTAATGTGTAGTACGTCTGTAGTCGACAACACGTGTTTTTGTAGCCCAACTTGTGCCAGTTACTGGGCAACAACTTTCAGCATCGTTCTCGGCCGTTTTATTATTTTTTCTTTTTGCTTAACCCAAAGATACTGCTTGCTTTTACGATGCGAAAGCAAGAAACATGTCATATGATATTACACTTTGTCTGCTTGGGTGTGAGTGTGTGTCCAGCCAGTGGGTGCCTGCAATTGCAGCGAGGATGCTGGCAAGTTTATGTGCAAAGTACATTTGATCAGTATCTTATTTTGAGTTTAAATTGAAAAACTTTCTTACGAGTTTGCAACGTTTTTGTGGTGCGTGTGTATGTGTGCGCGCGTGTTATTTGTCTCAGAAAACACAGTCATACATACATATATACACATCTATGTATAAATATATATGCACGCAACAATGTATGAGTTGCCCATGTGTGTATGCGTTGTTTTGCCAAGTAATAATAAAAACTATTTGTACATTAAGTTGCTGCTGCTTGTGCTGTTGTCCGGCCATCAAGCTGTTTTTCCAGCATCGTAAAACTTTCGCATTTTCACGGCGACGTAATGAAGCCGGACGACAGTGGCACAACTTGTCGCCACGTACGTGCGGCCAGCAATGTTGCTGTGATTCCTGCATGGCTGCCCTGCCGCCAAATACTTGACCAAGTTGTCAGCCCGCTCCGTGTCATGCTCCTAAAATGCCGCAAATATGGCATCCACCCGCACACACACACACACACTAATTCTGTCCGCCATAATCCGTCCGCCATCATCATCAACATCCTGTAATCAGCCCGGTCGTCATTTCAGGTATGCGCGCCGTCAAGTCTGTGCTGTTAGCATCGGCATCACTACGACGCCTCTATGTTGACCTGCCGGAGCCCGAGATTGTTTTGCGTGCCATTGTCGATGTTAATTTACCGAAATTCCTGGAACAGGATATTTCGCTGTTCATCGGCATATACATGGATCTCTTCCCGGGCGTTGAACTGCCAATGGTAAGTTTTATTTTTCTCAAAAGTATGTAATACCAACCGCGCAATTATACGCCGCGTAATGAGGCGCAAGCAGCCAATTAAAGCGATAGGCAACAACAACTCCCCTCCCCCGCAGAAAAAAGCAAAATATATGTGGCGCCCGCCCACATTTATCTGCGTGCATTGCATATTTTAATGAATACCCTATACACAAGAGTTGAACGAAAATGTGCGCTCCAATTGTTTTCCAATTTATTCCATTTATACTAGTACTATTTATACTAAGTAGCTAGAACCCTCTCAATAATACATAGTTATACTTGTATGTTAAAAATTCTTTTATTTGCTATCAATGTTTTCCACAATATTTTGCAGTCTGTTCTTCGATTAGATTATGTTCATTTGGTTGCCAGAAGATTATAAAATTTTTAAAAACGGATTTGGAACATTTTTATGGAACAAAGCCATTCATATAACTCTTTTCTATGCCTTTTATTTGTATAGTATGTATTGCAAAATATTCCTTTGATTCTTCAAGAATAGTGCTCTTAAATAATTGTTGATAAAAGCTGAAATGTCTACAAATTCTGATTGGAAGGTATTTTGTCACAAATTATTTGTTTCTAATATTTTGCTCTGCTTAGCATATCCAAAGAAATAATAAAATACAATTAGATTTAAATGGAAAATTATATGTAGCCAGGTTTTAGCCATACATCCTTTCTGTCTGCAGAGTATTTAAAAGTGGAATAATGTCCGTATTTTGCTCATATTTCACTTTTAAAATAATCATTTTTACCGTCCACCTCCATAAAGCCGCAACGTGATGACATACTAAAGTGGCTGCACAAGAATCTGGAGGACCGCAATCTGCAAGCCACGCCCTGGTATGTTGAAAAAATACTTCAGATCTACGAAATGCTGCTGGTTCGACACGGTCTGATGATAGTGGGTGGCTCGATGGGTGGCAAGACGACGGCATATCAGGTGAGTGAGCTGATTGAGTGGGAAATAGAGGATGCGGCGCATATTTTACATTTACGAATATTAATGTGCAACCGAGCTAATTAAATGGCTTGGAATTAATAAATTACCCAACGGATGGACGAGCATCAAATGAATTAACATTGAGTTCACTCTCGAACAGGTGCTCGCCATTACATTACGCAATGTGGCGACAGACGAGAATTGTACACTTAAGGAATATCCGGTTTCCTATCGGATTATCAACCCAAAGGCCATTACCATGGGCCAGTTGTACGGTCGCTTCGATCCCATCTCTCACGAGTGGTCTGACGGTGTGCTCGCCAAGACTTTCCGCGAAATGGTGCAGGGACCCCGGTACGAACGCGCCTGGGTAATGTTCGATGGCCCCGTGGATGCGGTGTGGATTGAGAATCTTAACACTGTACTCGATGATAACAAGAAGCTGTGTCTTATGTCCGGCGAAATTATGCAGATGACCAAGCTGATGAACATGATGTTTGAGCCGGCCGATCTGGAACAGGCCTCGCCGGCCACAGTCTCGCGCTGTGGCATGATCTACATGGAACCATCACAGTTGGGCTGGCGTGCCTTCCATCACAGTTTCATGAATGTCTTGTCAAAGAATGTGGGTCTGAACGACATATATTTGAACCTGTTTGAGGATATGGTGAATTGGCTAGTACCTGCCGCACTCGAGTTTCTACCGCAGTGCAAGCAGATGCTGGAGTTGTCTCCTCTCTATCAATACCAGACCTTTTCGCGCTTTTTCTTGCACTTCCTAGAGAAGCACAAGGTCTTTAATCAGACATGGTTCCAACAAATGTTTCTTTTCTGCTACGCATGGGCTTACTGCTCGGCATTGACGGGCAGCGGGCAGCGTACTTTTGATACGCTACTTCGTAAGGTGATCTACGGATCGAATGAAGATTATCCGAAACCCAAGTATTTTGCACTTAATCGCGGTCAGATGTTTCCCGAGAAGTTGGTATTCCTGGACTATCGGTTCGATGAAGCTGAAAATTGGTGGACCTGGCAGAAGTCAAGTGACGATCCTTCCGCGCTGGTCCAATTCCCGGAGAATGCCCAAATTAGTGAACTAATCGTGCCCACAAAAGAAACGGGCTACATTTCGTACTGGCAGGAGTTCTGTATAGCCAAGTCCTACGGCATGTTAGTTGTGGGACCTACAGGCACAGGCAAGAGTGCCATACTGACCAGTAACTTGTTGGCAATGCCCAAGTTCGCCAATCTGGTTAATATCATTAATTTCTCTGCACGCACTTCTGCACAAATGGTGCAGGAAACCATAATGAGCAAACTGGATCGGCGGCGCAAGGGCGTTTTTGGGCCAGCGTTGGGAAAGAAGGTCCGTTCTTTGTAGCTTAGTGAGATGAACTATTCTTGAAATAATATTTTTGCAGTGCACAGTCTTTTGTGATGATGTGGCAATGCCTTCTAAGGACACTTATGGCTCACAGCCTCCACTGGAGTTGTTGCGCACTTGGCTGGATCATGGCTACTGGTCCGATCTGATAGATACCACCAAAATTGAATTGGTGGATATGGTGCGTACTGAGGAAGTTGATTGAGCTCTGACAATGAATATGTTTTGTTTAATAGACCCTCGTCTGTGCCATGGGCACCCTGGGAGGCAGCAATTTTATCTTTCCGCGTCTCTACAGACACATGTTCGTGGTGGCTGTTGACTCGTTTGAGGATGCCACCATAGTCAGGATATTCACAGCAATTGGTGATTGGCACTTTGCCAAGGGGTATCCCGAAAAGGTGGCCTTACTATCGCGGGTAAGACACACTACTCAGACACACACGAGCAGGCAATCAGTTTGGCCGTTCTTGGATGGCCGCCAAAGTAAGGCGCATACAAAAATAAAAATGTGTATTTTATAACTTCATTTGAAAGAGTTCAAATGGTTGCGCGAGTGTGTGACAGTGTGGCAGTGTATCTGTGGCTGTCTTTTGTTCATTCGCATGTACTTGTGTTTTTAGGGATTGTCCGAGGCAATGGTCAGTGTATATCGTGAGGCCATACGCACATTCCTGCCCACACCGGCCAAGTCGCATTACACCTTTTCCCTACGCGACATAACGCGAGTCTTCCAGGGCATAGTCATGGTGCCATCGAAGCGAATGCAGGACCCGGAAAAGTTGGGTCGTTTGTGGGCGCATGAAACTTATCGCGTTTTTTACGACCGGTACGTATACGTCCTGTGGCCAGCCCAGGCAGGCTGCCTGCCATTGTCTGTGGCAAGCTAGTCTTACTATTTATGGGTTCTTTTATGGCATTTACGGTCGTCTGGCTGCATCTATCATTTTGCTTTTTATACCTATTGCCGCTTACTCAATCACCTGCAGTCTGGTCGACCAATGGGATCGTGACCGTTTGCTCACGATGGCTATGGATGCGTGCAAGACCTGTCTGCGTTTTCCTCTGGAGCAGGCTTTCGCAGAGCGCATCGAGCCGGGGGAAAAGTTAAGCGATAACGACTTGCGAAACCTTTTCTATGGCAATTACATGGAACCAGATGCCGAGCCCAAATTCTATGACGAGTGCGATAGCTATGACAAACTCGAGAAGCTTATGAAGTACTATTTACGCGAATACAACTCTTTCTCCAGTACACCCATGGATCTGGTCATGTTTCGGTTCGCCATTGAGCACGTTAGCAGGTGCGTGTGCGATTTTAATGCTGCTGTTGGCCTACTTTTCAGTTTTATTTCTATTGTTAGGGTCTCGCGTGTCCTGCAAATGCCACGTGGAAATATTCTCATGGTTGGCATGGGTGGTTCCGGTCGGCGCAGCTCCTGTCGCCTGGCCGCCTACATTGCCGACTGCCGCCTGATGACAGTGCAAGTATCCAAGTCCTACACCATTGCCGACTGGCGAGATGACTTGAAGAAAATACTAATGGCATCCAGTTTTAATTTGAATCACACTGTATTTCTCTTCTCCGATGCACAGGTAAGCAATTAGCTATATTTATATCTACATATGCAAAGAGGGGCACGGAAATCGGTAACCTCATGCTTGTAAATACTAGGTACTCGGATATACGTATTATTCTTTTTACGAGTGCTGGCCTTAAGTTGACTTGCAACAAACAAATTATGTTAAAAACGATTCTTCGGCCTACCATATACATACTTATTCGATATGATTTAAGAAGACACTGCACATTTTCTGTATGCATTTAGAATGAATTTTATATTGTTATTAATTGATTGAATTATCAAAGAGTTGGTATTCAGAGTATTCTGTTCGAACAAACAATTTAAAGCAACTATGGTGACTTCTTATGCTTCGTATTATTGCCACGTCTCTTACTTTTTCCATCTTCAATAAAGTTATTAAATCTCTACAAGATTGCTATTCACAATCGTTATTAGTTAGTTATCATGTTCATTAGGCCTGCTGCAGCATTCGAGTGTTAATCGGTGTTAATATGCAAATAAAGTATGTTAATTTGGTCTAAAGCAGCCATTTGTGTAAACGGCAACAAGTAACTGTCAAAGTCGCGCGCTAGCCCAAAAAGTCCAACAAGTCCAACAAACCCATAAAGTAGCATCAAGAGAGCCATTGTATGCAAATCGAGAGCAGATCGAAATTAATTTGAATATTCTAAGTATACAATACTAGCATATGTAGATATACATAAATAATTCGAAGCGGCATGAGCGCCATAAACACTCCAATGATAATAGTAATTGAATCTTGCTTAATAATGTGTATGAAAATTTGGTTTTTGTGTGAGCCGGCAACAGGCCAGGTCTGGCACTGGTTAGAGCCGCCACCGCCGGACTAGAATTCATTGTTGCGCCAAAATTTACATTTATAATTAGGTTAATTGTTCAACTAACTTGATTATTGCCGAATAATTTGCATATGCTGCGTTGCAGTTCTCGTGTCCATATCAATGAATTTGTTGTTATGGCTTAAATTGAATTTAAGTCAATAAATTAGGAGACCAATTTAGGCATTGCTTATGGTCGAAAATCAATACAGCTGACGAGCACTCGGACACCGTGCTCTTAGTAGTAACTGCGTATGACAACGCTCCAGCTAGCCCTCAACGAAAGCTCAATAAGTTCTGCGCCTCTTGCAAAACAAATCGTCGAGCCACACTGGCCACACTACAATATACTATATGTACTTGTATAGTAGTAGGGATAAACAGTCCAGTCCAGTCCAGTCCAGTCCAGTCCAGGGAAAACAATCAACGTTGGAACATTTTGTAAACATTTTTCTTGATTTAATCGCCAGCTTAGAGCTGCAGGATGTGGCTTAGGTAGAGTAGTAGAAGTTACCGAACATGATGTAGTAAAGCGGAATAACAACCATGGCCCAAATGCATGTGCAAACAAATCCCCATTCAGACATTAATTAACAATTACTCTAAAATGCCCAACAGAGAGCGGCTGGCAGTTCGATTTGAGTAGCGTAAGCTGAAGGCAATAAATGTACTTTTCAATAAACAAATTCCTTGGAGTGTGTAGTGCATCTATTCGAGTTCGAGAGAACGAATAATCCCACTTCAAGCGATTGAGAATGCGAATGCAAAATGTATGTAAAAGTGCAACAACAACTCACTGATTTGCTTTGTTGCCTCTACTCGTATACAGGCAACGGACGAGGGCTATGTGGAGGATATCAATGGCATACTTAATACCGGTGATTTACCCAATCTCTATCAAATAGAGGACAAGGCTGCCATTATGGAGAATATGACAAATGTGGCCAAGCAATTGGTAAGTACTCGTAGAGGAGCAACGACGGCTCCATTATCCATTTGCGTAAAGAATTTCATGAGTGGCAGAGCCAAACACGAGTAGAATGGAATTGATCACACATACTATATGTACAAGTATACATACAAATGTACATCTAAGAAAACCCGCTTTTGTTTTACTCTATTTTCTCCTCTTTCGCACCAGGGTAAGGTGCTAGACTCATTGCCAAGCGAGGTGTATGCCTTCTACATTGACCGCATTCGGGAGCAATTGCACATCGCACTGGCCTTCTCACCCATCGGGGACTCGTTCAAGGAGCGCATACGTGTGTACCCCTCATTGATAAATTGCTGCACCATCGATTGGTAAGCAGGCGTGTAAGTGCCAGGCATGTGACAACAACTACTAAACATAGAATGCCAACAGGTATATGCCTTGGCCGGAAGAGGCGCTGCATCGTGTAGGCACCTATTTTGTCAGCTCGATGCATTTGAATAGGCCGCAGGGGGAGCGACACGAGGAGCCGGCTGTGACTCAGCCAAGAACGTCAGACGAGAGTGGTAAGAGCGACGAAAATCGAGATAGTCGTGGCGAGGAGGAGCGCGAACTAACGCAGCTCGAGGAAGAATTGGTCTATTGCGTCAAGTACTTCCATCAGTCAGTAATAGAAGCAAGTGAGAAGTGTTATCTGGAGCTGAGTCGACGTAATTATGTAACGCCCTCGGCCTATTTGGAGCTGCTGAAGGCCTTTCGTTCCTTCTACTCGCGCAAACTGGATGAAATTACACGTTTGCGCGATCGATACACCACTGGTCTTGAAAAGCTGGATTTCGCCGCCGGACAAGTGGGCGAGATGCAGGCCAATCTATATGATTTGCAGCCCAAATTGAAAGTACTTTCTGAGGAGACGGACAAAATTATGGTTAACATCGAACGTGAAACGGCTGAGGCAGAGAAAAAGAAGGAAGTTGTAGGTGCAGATGAGGCAGCGGCCAATGAAGCTGCCGCGGCAGCGCAAGCCATTAAGGACGATTGTGAGACCGATCTGGCTGAAGCCATTCCAGCAATGGAGGCCGCCTTAGAGGCGCTTAATACCCTTAAACCTGCTGATATTTTTGTGGTGAAGTCCATGAAGAATCCACCTTATGGTGTCAAGCTAACACTTGAAGCTGTGTGTGTGCTGAAGGGTCTCAAGCCGGATCGTAAGCCCGATCCCAGCGGCCACATGGTTGAGGACTATTGGGGACCATCAATGCGTATGCTGAGCGACATGAAATTTTTGGAATCATTAAAAACATTCGACAAAGATAACATCCCGCCACCTATCATAAAAAAGATTCGAGAAAAGTAAGTAATTATGACACTCTGAGTCCAAATCCTTGTAAACTTTAGAGTCTACTTTGCAGATATATAGCCGATCGTGACTTTGTCCCAGAGAAAATCAAGGCAGCCTCCATGGCATGTGAGGGCATTTGTAGATGGGTGCGTGCCATGGACGTCTATGACAAGGTCGCTCGTATAGTAATGCCCAAAAAAGCTGCTCTAGCCGAGGCCGAGGCGGACTTGTCACAGCAAATGGAAAAACTCAATGGCAAACGGGCCGAGCTGCAGGTTATTCTGGATAAGCTGCAAAAGCTGAACGACTTCTTTGCGGAAAAATCGCGGGAAAAGAAACGACTGGAGGACGAGATCGACAATTGCGAGAAAAAACTGAACAGGTGAGTTATTTGAATAATTATGGGCAGTTTTAATTGAAATTGGGAATTATTTATACTGACAACTCTAATGATCAACAAATTAAAATGCTTCATCAAATTTGTTGAGCTCTTCTTCAACTCTACAAAATTGATAGCGATGTCTTGAATTTGGAATAATGCATCGATTCTCTGGCTCCAATTAATTAAAGTCTTTATAACTTGGAGCCAGAGAATAAAAGATGCATATTTTACACATTTTAAATAGAAACATTATAAATTATAATTTGAATATTTCTCGAATTACTATACACAGTTTATGTTTTGATATTTCACAAGGCTGCTTATTGAAAGCGACTGCAAAATTCTATCAACGAGCCCAGGAATTGATTGCAATTGACCAATTACAGTTGAAGCAGGACTGATATACTTGGATATATTTTCCAGTGTTTAATCTTATTATCTCATTTGCTTTTCAGAGCCGAAAAACTGCTTGGCGGCCTTGGTGGAGAAAAGACGCGCTGGTCCGAGGCGGCTAAGAATCTGCACGAGTCCATTAGCAACATTGTGGGTGATGTGTTGCTCGCAGGTGGCTGCACAGCATATTTGGGCTTCTTTACCACCGAGGTGAGTCATCCGCCAATTTACGTTTCAACGCTTTCACTTGTACACTGCGTTGGCAGTAAACATTTACATATGCTTCACTTTTTGGGGGGCGGGCGGATCCACTCAGTCGTTAGCTCGTTTCCAGCAAATGGTGGCCCAAGTTCCAGTGTCTGTTCCACAATGTGTTTGTGGGTGTGATGCTATCATAGAGTTTTTAATATGCATGAGCACGGTGCATTGATTTTTTTTTTCATTGCTTTTGAGCGCCACTGTTTTGAATTTCCCTGGCTTAGTTTTACGGCTGACGTGGTATTTCTGTACATATTTTTGTATACTATATATACTATATACTCTGATTTTGTATATGGTGCGCGCATACAATGCACAAATGCTGACATGTTAATATTTAGCTAAAACGCGCCAAAAATGGCGTCCACTAACCACTTTGTGTTACGTTTTATTTTTAAATCTCGCCTACCACCCTCTCACAATTGCCGGCTCATCGGGCAGTATCGGGTGAACATTTTGGACGACTGGACTGCAGTATGCCTGCGTCGACATATACCGTCCAGTGAGTCGTTCTCGCTAGCCGGTACCTTGGGCCATCCCATGACCATACGAGCTTGGTCCTTAGCAGGCTTACCGGCTGATAACTTTTCCGTGGAGAATGGCATCATCGTGACAAACTCGAGTCGCTACTCACTGCTCATTGATCCACAGGGTGAGTGCTAGGTGTTGGGAGCATTTCTATTCGCTTATTGCCTAAGCCAACCAATTACAGTGCAAGCCAACAAGTGGATTAAGAACATGGAGAAGAACAATGGCCTGAAGGTGATTAAGCAGAGCGATACTAATTATATGCAAGTGCTGGAACTGGCTATTACGTATGGCCAGCCGGTGCTGATTGAGAACGTGGGTGAGTAAAGCAATTTAGTTGACTAAGCTGTTGTCGCTAGCGGTCGGGCGCCGCATTAAGGGGAATCAGGTCGCATAAGCTTTGGGGCTTTGCTTACAACATTTACATTATAGCCATTATTTACATATTTCGCAATTAGGCGAGAAGCTCGACTCGAATCTAACGCCCATATTGGAGAAGAACGTTATCAAGCATAAGGGCGGTCTGTTTATCAAAAGCGGCGACACGATGATAGAGTACAATCCCGACTTTCGCCTGTACATAACGACCTGTCTGCGCAATCCGCATTATCCGCCGGAAGTGATGGTTATGGTAAGTTGACATATACAGAACACTGCCACAAAATAGCGCACGGCTAAGAGAATCAACACACATATAGTAGTAGCAGTGACGACGACGTTAGTTGTGTAATAAAACTACGAACTTAAATTGATATTTGGAAAATGCGGCTCGCCGATGCTACAAGAAATATGCAAATTTTTAGTGACATTGACGACAACGTATAGACAAGAATAGCGACAGGAATGGCTGACGGAACGGGCATGGGGGCTAGGGCGGGGACAGTGGCATTGATGTACGTGCGGTGACGATGCATAACTAGGAGCTAGCATAACGACAACTTTGCCAGCCCCTACTCCCAACAACTGCCTCCACGGACGTACAGTTTTCATTTTCCAACCAAGCTTGTTGGCGTGTTTATAAAATTTGCAGCATTTCGCTTCTATTGCTTATGGTCTTGCCCTACACCAGACCTGGCTCTATTTTTTATACTGCAGCTCCTGTTAGCAGTTTATGTGTTTCTTTGGCTGTGTGCGGGTGCGGGTGTGTGTGTATGTGTATGTGTGTGTGGTGTTGGCACATTGTGTGTTTATTTTGTGTTTTCTTTCCCTTTTACGTGCTCGGCTTTCTATTCTGTTCTGCTCCGCTCTCTGTTTAGGTAACAGTATTAAATTTCATGATAACGGAACAAGGATTACGCGAACAATTGCTAGCTATTGTGGTTGCGCACGAGCGTCCCGATTTGCAAGAGAAGAAGGAACAATTGATTATTGAATCCGCAAGGAATCGTGATGCATTGTACACAATCGAATCGAAGATATTAGAGGTAAGCGGCCGAGCATCGTCCTGCACTGCACATACATATTGTACATATATACTACGTATTTACAAATATATACGATTTGTTGGCATGCGATGCTCTTTGAGAATCATTTCCTATACTTTCCATTTGGTTGCACAACAACCAAATTAAATTATAGTGTCCGGCACAAAAAATTATACCAATTCAATTAACCGGAAGCACTCGTATATATGTATCTTTATGTGCAGGGATACAATTTTGCATTTTCGGCACTTTCTCTAAACGGCTGATTGGCTTGTTTTTACCACAACGATCATTCCTGTAGGTTCTCTCCACGTCCGAGGGCAATGTGCTGGAAGATGAGAATGCCATAAACATTCTATCCTCAAGTAAGATTCTGTCCGAGGACATACAGGAGAAGCAGGTCATAGCTGTGGCTACTGAGATTGAAATCGATGCGGCTAGGCAGCAGTATATACCGGTGTCCAAGCACTCAGCAATACTTTTCTTCTGCATCAGCGAGTTGGCCAATGTGGATCCGATGTACCAGTACTCGCTGCCCTGGTTCCTCAATCTCTTCGTCAATGCCATCCTCAAGGCGGATAAGTCGGATGTACTGGCCGAGCGACTAAAGAATCTCAATGACTACTTCACCAAGTCGATATACACAAACGTTTGCCGTTCGCTGTTTGAGAAGGACAAGTTGGTCATATCGCTGGTCATGTGTCTGGGGATTTTGGTTTCACAGGGGCGTATTGATAGAGACGACTTGTTATTCTTTTTGACCGGCGGCATAGGTTTTAAGAATATTCCGCCAAATCCATTAAATGCCTGGTTACCAGACAAGGCTTGGGGCGCAATTTTCCGTGCCAGTGAGCTGACTGGGTAAGATAAGAGCTGTGTAACGTCCATATCATATTTACAATTTGAGAGCGTTGCAGACTTAAAAACATTCACGTAAGTATGCAAGAAAACAGTGAGCACTGGATGAAGTACTACGATGCAGTCAATCCCAATGAAATGGAAATACCAAAGCCCTACAACATGGTTAATGAAATGCTTAATCTAGTGGTGCTTAAGAGCTTGAGGCCAGATAAACTAGTTCCTGCGGTTCGCGTAAGTTACCGAAATAAGTTCGCCATCTGACCGATTCAGATTGAAGAAATGCTACAAATTTCAGGCCTTCATAACGCGCAACCTGGACAAGTCCTTTGTGGAGCCGCCACCCTTCGATTTGGGGGCCTCATTTGCGGACAGTTCCCCGAGAATACCGTTGGTGTTCTTGCTGTCAGCCGGCTCCGATCCGATGGCCAGCCTCTTCATGTTCGCCAAACAACGCAACATGTACGACAAGTAAGTTAATTAACGAGAGTGGCTCATATTTCCGTGTCCATGTCATGCGATGTTGATGCTGCAGCTGAGCAGCTGAGCAGCGGATGGTTGGATGGTAGGATGAGGGTGGCTTGTTTTCGATTAAGAGCGACATGTGCCCAGGGTTTTGGCTGGTTGACTTGATAGTAGGGTGTTGCTCAATAGATACATTTCACTTAGTAAAGTAACAGTTAAAAATTGAAGAGAACTTTTCTCATCTTTCATATTCAGATTGAAAACCATTTCATTGGGTCAAGGTCAGGGGCCACGTGCTGAAAAAATGATCATAGAGGCGGCACGTCACGGTCAATGGGTCGTGCTTCAAAACTGTCACGTGGCTTTCAGCTGGATGGGCGACTTGGAGCGCATATGCAATGACACGTCGCTGACTGATGGCGCCCACCAAGACTACCGCCTGTGGTGCACTTCGTATCCAAGCCCTGTGTTTCCCGTCTCGGTGTTGCAGAACTCGGTCAAGATGACAAATGAACCACCGAAGGGTTTGCGTGCGAATATGCATCGCTCGTTCACATCCGATCCGCTAATGCGGGACAAGTTCTTCACCAACGCCTTTCTCTTCTCTGACTCTGCGAACAAGTGCTGGTTGCGTGGAGTATTCGGCTTGGTCTTCTTCCATGCTGTGGTTCAGGAGCGCCGGGAATTTGGACCGCTTGGATGGAATATACCTTACGAGTTCAACGAGTCAGATCTGAAGTATGTAAAAAATGTGTCTTGTGAGTAACTTAAAGTTGAAATGATCGTTGGTATTCTTTAGGATCTCATTGCTACAACTGAAGATGTTTATTGCGCAGAGCCATACGATTCCCTTCCGCGGTCATGTCTATTTGACTGGCGAGTGCAACTATGGCGGCCGTGTGACTGACGATAAGGATCGCCGCCTGATATTATCGCTACTCAACATGATATACAATCCAAGAACTATTGAAGTGGACAAGTGTGTGCTACAGATTCATTAAAAGATGTTTACTAACTTACACTTTTTGCAGCTATGCGCTTTCCCAATCCGGCGCGTATCGAGTGCCATTAAGTCCCACACGTTTGAACTCTATAGAGTACATACAAACCTTTCCTTTGAGTCCACAGCCTGAGGTCTATGGCTTGCACGAGAATGCGGATATAAATCGCAACGTGAAGGAGACAAATGCGGTGAGTAATCCAGTGACAATACATCATATGCATCTGTATATTTTGCTTCTTGCTCCCACAGCTTATCAGCGGAGTTTTGCTGACCCAGACAGATCTCATGGCTTCCGTAAAGGCCAGTTCAGCCGGCGGTGCAAAGGAAGATCCGGCCATTGCTATTTGCAAAGAGTTGCTCAGCCGACTGCCCGAAGAGTTCGATATTGACGAGGTCTCAAAGAAGTATCCCGTAATTTACACCAACTCGATGAATACTGTGCTGCGTCAGGAGCTCATTCGTTTCAATCGTCTCCTATCCTACATACGCAAGAGTCTTGTAAATGTGCGCAAGGCCGTTGTGGGTCAAATCGCCATGATACCGGAGCTAGAGCGCACCCATGCCTCGATGGTGATTGGCAAGCTGCCGGCGGATTGGCTGAAGAAAAGCTACCCCTCGCTTAAACCTTTGGGTAGCTATGTATCAGACTTTTTGGCGCGGTAAGTTCAAAACTCGACGAGCTCTCGCTCGCTACTCATATTCTTAGGCAGCTATCAATGGTACAATGACGGCCAGCTTATAATGTGTTCCCGTCAGCTCGTTTGTCCTTTGTTGGCTGCCGGCTTCCCAACGTATCCGTATTTTTCGTTTTTTACTGCAATTGTGTAAATATAATAAATGTGCACAGCGCACATGTCCTTCACTCTGTGCCAGACGTGCGGCTCCTGCTTCTGTCATTCATGGGGAAAATCTTATTTGCTATTGACTTCAAAGGATGTGTGCTTTTGCTAGCTCTTTGTGCGCCCCAGCCTTTTGTCGCTAGTCGCTGTTCGCTATACAAATACAAATGCTTGATATGATTATTAATAAATTGTAAAGTAAGGTACATATCTCAAATCCAACTCCACAGCTTGGTCTTCTTTCAAGAGTGGATCAACAGCGGCGAGCCGATCGTTTACTGGATTTCGGGCTTCTATTTCACACAATCCTTCATCACTGGTGTGCTGCAGAACTATTCTAGAAAGAACCGTTTTCAGATCGACATGATATCGATTGAGTTCGCAGTTACCAAATTTGAGATGCAAGTGAACGTAACTCCAGAAGTAGGTGCCTACATACGGGTGAGTAACTATCGGGGAAATCTACGCTTTTGATCGATCTATTTTGAAAACAACAAATCAACAATATTTTTACACGCTAACACATCAGGAACAAAAAGAAATAAATGATGAGACAAAGTTTATACAAGTAAGCTAGCTCAGAGATAAGAGCAGACACCAACAATTCCTTACACCGTATCTTTCCGCTTGAGCCTCTAATACTATCTTTTATTTCTGTTAATATCAACTAATTGAAACTTTTGAATTTACAATTTTGTAGGGAATATTTATAGAGGGTGCGCGGTGGAATCGCAAGACCAAGGAACTGGACGAATCATTTTCCAAAATACTATTTGATACTCTACCTGTCGTCTACTTGCGTCCTGTGTTGAAGACTGGCGAAGACGCGGCAGGACACGGCGGCGGTGGCGACTCCGACGAGATTTACGACTGCCCGGTTTACAAGACCAGCGAGCGCCGTGGCGTCCTCTCCACCACCGGCCACTCGACCAATTTCGTGATGTACATGCAGCTGAAGTGCTCGAAGACCCCGATGCATTGGATTAATCGTGGCACAGCTTGCCTGTGTCAGCTGGACGATTGAAAAACGCGGCCCGGATTTAATGCGTCCATCTCGTGTTGTTTTTGTTTATTTTCATATATGCAATGCAAAAGCCTATTTATATTTTACTGACATCAAGGACTGTCCGCCTGTGCTTCCCTGCGCATAAATATATTGTATATGAATATATGTACATACATAGATATATATTTTGATTCCCCGTTTTCGGGCAAAAGCTCAGGAAATGCCAAGAGCGAACAAATTTATTTTTTCATTTGTTTTCTTGTATGGGTTGTGGACAGTGCTCGTTGGCATTTTGATGATGACGTTGATTGCCAGGTGAAAATTAAATATGCAGAATACCAAACATACCTACGAATACATACTCAAATAGCAGTAGACAAATAGGTACACCTTTACATCTATATATTTTGTGAAAGCTATTTACAAATGAATAAATGAAACCACGCGCATTGAATGAATTTTCAGCAAAAATGAATGCATATTTTTGTAGCAACGTCTGGATTCAGTTACAAATCAAATCAATTTCAACGGCAAGAATGCACTGATGGGTATTTTAAAATTCGTTTTTTATTTCACGAAATCTAGAAAATATATTTTTGTATAATTCCCATTTGAGTTAAGAACGATCAGAAGCCATAGTCGTGTTTTTCGGAATGCAATTATTTTATTTAAAAGGTAGCTTAAGTGTGAGAAATACTATGCTATGTATATCGGTAGGGTAGTTCCAGAGCAATTAATAACTACTAATCTTCGGGACTTTTCCTTCAATACTGATTTTTTTATTACATAATTTTCACCATGAACATTTTTAGCTATCGCTAGGTAACCACACTTAAGACTTGATTGTTTGTTAATTTTAGCCGCCTGTTTGTTATGAAATCCGTCTAAATATTATGCCAAGTTTCTAGATTTTATGAAAGACAAAATTCTGGATTTATGCCAAGAACAGGTGTTAAATTTCATCTTGCCAAGCACATAAATCCTAAGATCGGTAGCCACCTCAATCTAACCTTTTACTGAGCTACCTCCACGTGTCTTTAACAGTAGCTGTTTAGCAAATGGCTGCCAAACTTGCGTCTCTTTATCACGTTGACTGCCCACGTGCGGCTCTTTAAGCCACATTTGCATACTCAAGATATTTTTGTCGTGCTTTGTCCAGAATTAGAGCAACACTTAAGTAAATCAATTTTTGGCAGCGACAAGTATTTAAGAACATACCATAACATAGCGTAAAAGCTAAGATATGCCGTAGAAGTGCCTTCCACACAAGTATACATTAAATCAGCTTGCTATTTATAGCTGACTAATGGAGGATTGCCAAAAATAGCAACACTTGACTGCGACTCGTATCCATCAGACTTTCAGCTGTGCTCGACCTTAGACATTGATCAAGAGTCACTAAAAATGCGCAGCTGCCCAACAATTAACAAATGATAAAATTGAGGAGAGTATACATACTAGTAAGCGGAGACTTCCGCTTGCAATTACGAGACGCTCGGCCAGCGTTGAATTGACACAAATCCATTGAGGCAGATGAGGCGAATAAGCGCCAACTAAGCGCAGCCTTAGCCATTCATACACAATTTGTATAATAATAAGCCAATAATTGATACAAATAATCGAAACAATCAAAGCTCACGCGAAGAATGCCAAAAAGAGCCCTCGACTATTGTTCATTCTGCCTACGACATCGACAAAGACGAAGACGAAGAAGTCGCCGAAGTGGCCGCCACTTTTGTCGTTTCTTATAGAAGTTTGGTGTTTTGTTTACTTTCGTTTTGTTTTTGGGCAGCCGTCATACTAATAATGCTTTTATGCTATTATCGCTGCTGCTGCTGTCGCTTCTGCTCTTGTTGTTGTGGCTGGATCATTTGTTTATACTTATATACGAGTATATGGTAAATATGGTAAATATGGTAAATAGGCAGCGCTCAGGCTGTGAAGGTGGCGGCTGCTACAAATGGCTACTCATACTAAACAATTGATGCTCGGTGCTTGAGATACTTCTGACAATAGCAACTGGCCAAACTAGCCACAATGAAGAAGCGGCAGACGACAACGATGCGGTAGTTGGTGGTATGAGCGGCAACCGGTTTAATTTTCGATCGTCTGTCTCAAAGTGAATGGCTGTGGGTCGGCGAGAACTTTTCGCCTTTTTGACTATAAATAGTGTCGTTGAGGCTGTTATTGAAACAGAATCGACTTTGGATTAATCTCATAGACACATCGCGCAATTTATTCGAGTTCGACGAAAATGGTTAGTTCCGCTACCTGCCACGTGTGCATTTCCAACACATAGGATTAACATCAACTTCCTTTTTTCTCTGGCTGCCCATTTACAGAAATTCTTTGTCATCGCTTTTGCTGTGATCGCATCCGCTTCGGCGGCATCGATTGCCACGGACTACCTGCCGCCAGTGGACAACAACATCGAAGCCACTGAACTGGTTGAGTCCCCAGTGGAGTTAGCTGATGATGGTTATCGTTACAAGACTGTGCGCCGCTTGAGGCTGCGCCACCGCCGCGATGTCAGCGAGCTGCCCTCTTCCGAATACCTTCCTCCCATTGAGCAGGCCTCCGAGCAGGTCATTGTTGAAGAGGCCGCTCCTGAGACCGTCGTTGGTGCCGATGGCTACCGTTACAAGACTGTGCGTCGTCGTGTGATCCGTCGCCGTCGTGATGTCTCCGAACTTGCCAACGAATACTTGCCCCCCGTCGAAGAAGCCACCCAAGATGTCGCTGTTGAGGTCCCTGCTGAGTCCGCTGCCCTGGCTGATGATGGCTACCGTTACAGAACCGTGCGTCGTCGTGTGATCCGTCGTCGTCGTGATGTCTCTGAGCTTGCCAACGAATACTTGCCCCCAGTCGAAGAAGCCACCCAAGATGTCGCTGTTGAGGTCCCTGCTGAGTCCGCTGCCCTGGCTGATGATGGCTACCGTTACAGAACCGTACGTCGTCGTGTAATCCGTCGTCGTCGTGATGTCAACGAGTTGCCTTCTGCCGAGTACCTACCACCTGCAATTCCAGAAGCCAGCCAGGATATCGCTGTGGAGGTCGCAGCTGAGTCCGCTCCCGAAACTGTCGTTGGAGCTGATGGCTACCGCTACAAGACTGTGCGTCGCCGTGTGATCCGTCGTCGTCGTGATGTCAACGAGTTGCCCTCTGCCGAGTACCTACCACCTGCAATTCCAGAAGCCAGCCAGGATATCGCTGTGGAGGTCGCAGCTGAGTCCGCTCCCGAAACTGTCGTTGGAGCTGATGGCTACCGCTACAAGACTGTGCGTCGCCGTGTGATCCGTCGCCGTCGTGATGTCTCCGAACTTGCCAACGAATACTTGCCCCCAGTCGAAGAAGCCACCCAAGATGTCGCTGTTGAGGTCCCTGCTGAGTCCGCTGCCCTGGCTGATGATGGCTACCGTTACAGAACCGTGCGTCGTCGTGTGATCCGTCGTCGTCGTGATGTCAACGAGTTGCCTTCTGCCGAATACCTGCCCCCCGTCCAGGAGGCTGCCGCTTCCCACATCATCGACGTTCCAGCCGAGCCAACTCAGCTTGCCGATGATGGCTACCGTTACAAGACTGTGCGCCGTCTGAAGTTCCGTCGTCATTAGAGAGTCACAAGCACACCCCCACCGCTCCATTAGAGATGGTATTCTCCTAGAAACCTCATAATGAAGTTACCTTAAGTCCCGTGTCTTAGTCAATGCATGAAAAATGGTTATGAATAATTCGAGTACAAAAACAATTCAAAAATAAAAACACAATGATAACAAATACCCCTTTTTTGTTCTATCTATCTACAAGTATCTGGGCCTTGCGCAACTCTGTCTCACGGACTAACGGAGAGGGGTCAGCTTATCTTATCGGCGCACAAAGCGATAAGGTGGGAGCACCTGCCGCTCTCTAAATTCACGCACAGGTTTTTAGTTCCACTTTGTAGTTGGCGACGTGCGCGTTTCAACTTGACGAGCGTTTTTCGAGTGCACACACAAACGAAAACTTACGAAAAAACGACGGAAATGAAGTTGGCTAAGAACTGCTCCACCTACTTTCTGATATGCCTGGGTAAAGTTGTGCATATTGCTACTGCAATTTGTTGAAGTTTTTAGTGCTAGTGTGTGCTCCGAGCTGGAGTTGCATTTTAGGATACCGTTTAAGTGCCGCTATTAAAGCGATTTGAGTAACTGTGCCAAGCATACTCGTATCAACTGCGCAATGAGTGTGTGTGTGTGTGTGTGTGTGTGTCTGGGTGTGCGTCATGCCACGAGATAACGACCTCAGTGTAGACTTTGGGCGTTTCACTTCACTAAGCTGTAGACATTCTTATCAGTCGCCATTTCACAGAAATATGTTGTTTACTCATTGCCTAATTTTCTATTATTATTATTATGTCTTTTTTGTAATGAATTTATATGAATCAGCCGCTGATTGTAGAGTTTTTCTTTAGTCATTCCCTTACCAGTACATTAATTATTTTTGACTCATATGTATATTTTTGGCTTGTTTAATTTTATAAATTTTTTCATTTGCAACAAAAAAAGTTCGCTAATACCGGAAGTGGCTTAAGCGCGGTAATTATTGCGCACATAAATTATGAAATATGAAAAACAATTAGTTTTGGTCAGTGGCTGGCCAAAACATTGGTCACGCTTTTTCTACATAGACGCACAAAATGCCTTTTTCCCCCTTATAGTTGATTTCGCTGCCCATTTGTTGGCTAACTGGCGAATCGATATGCGATTTTCGCACATTCAAAAAATGTGTGTGAAAATTCGGACGCAAAATACCAAAGGCAGAGAAACAAATGCCTCATAAACTGTAATTAAAATACATTGATTATTTTTTAGCATATTTTTTCATATGACCGAAACTGACATCCGCAATAAAATGAAGCGGCGCCAGCGCCAAAATACATATGTACATAATGATATGGTCACTACAAGTATTTGCCCGCACTCCCCTCTTTCAGAGCCACGGCAGATTTATCGTCAAGATGGTGGCGCGCGCCCAAGCTTCAATCGGCATTTGTTGTGGGCTTTGTTTGATTTGCTTTGCTGCCTTTGCTGTTAAATATTTTCTCAATAATTAATTGTTCATATTTTAACAACTCCTCGGGCAAATAAGAATTTCTGTTCGCACGTCCGCTGCTGGTTTTTTGATGAATGGTGAACGTGTTTTTCAATGAGTTCCGTTGCGTTCTTGCGAATTATTATTATTATTTTTTTCTTAATATTTGATGAATATTTCAAAGTTGTTTATGTTGCTGCGACTGCTGACCACACACATGGCACAGCATGTTCTTTGTTCACACAAACATACATACATGTATACACAGTATACAGAGTTGTGAAAAAATATAGAAAATGCTGCAGAGCTTCAATACACTTCTGTTTAATTTTAAAGCTTAAACATGTATGTACAAGTATGTATAAGTTGTGATTTCAATAATTCATCTTGTTAGCATGACGTCTATTGATTTTATTGTATTTGACACGAATCCATTTATTAGATTTGAAACAAGATAAACAAGTCTCCCCTATTTCCTCAATTGAAAAACTTTAGAAGCAGGTGCTGCAGACCATTACTATATTTTTGTTTGCCCTTAAAGGAAACCCACTTAGCACTTCATCCATGCTTGAGCTAATGCATAAAATATAGAAATATAGCAGAAATTCCAGTTTATTATTAGTGTTGATTTACTATTATCTATTTAAGAGCCAACACTTAAGTGATCATTATATTTTCATACAGAGTGAACACGCTTATTGAAAATTTGTTTTTGGATTACCTGCTGACTCGTTATACAAAAATATTTCTTGAAATTAATGCGTACGTTTACATGACGATGGTTATTCTACGATCACATGTATTTATCACAACTAGGAACATGTTTTGAAATTTGAAACTATTTAAAAAGAAAATGCATTCGCCATCATTTTTATTGACTCCAATAAATAAAGCGATTTTTAAATTTGTATATAAGAAATATGGTACAACTTTTTATATTTCCTAAGAGCTTACATATATCGTATTATTTAATTATGTCTTTGGAGAATGATTATACTTCTATTAAAAAGTACTGGCAAATATTATTAACTTGATTGCATCAGTAAGCAAGTAGCTACAGATTTAAAGTTTAGTATTTTGCTTGTGTAGGATGTATAGTATTGTCATGTCTGTTATTGTATTTGTATAACTAAGTAGATATCTTCACTTCTTTGCAGTTCTACTTGCCTGCTGTATGCAGGAAACGGAAGCCACGCGACGCGTGAATCGTGGACGTCGGACACTTACGCGTCGATATTTCAGTGAGTTCTCTCGAAAGAGCAATTGAAGAATTAGAGATGATTTGAATTTGTTTTTTTTTTTACAGATGGCTTGGCAATACCCGGCTGGGCGCTGATCGTATGCGTGGCCGTTGCTGAGCTTCTTGTGGGCGGTGCTTTGTATTTCGTATTGTACAAAGTTATATTGACAAAGGAGTCGGATCAGGCAGCAACATATACGCCGGCAAAGACGCACGAGACAGCAGCATTAACGCCTCCACCTTCACATGCCACCGAAATTGCCTAAGACGAGGAAGGGCTATGAGGAAGTGAGCAACAACAGTTGTGCCCTTCTTTTTCAAACTAATGTGTAGCTTAGTATTTTATTCATAGACATGTTCCATTATGCCCTTTGTTGTTCGCTTCGAATACATTTTTGTTACAAATTAAATCAAAACTAATTCGGTAGAAGATTTTTAAATGTCATTCGCTTAATACGCTGAATACGCAGATTTTAAAGTGCTATGTTTTAGCTGTTATTTTTTATTGTACCGGCCATGCGGCTATTTTCATATACTCCCATATATTCTGATCTAGTTTGTGGCGCCTGCCAATCAAATATGACGCTGTTGTATTCATCAGACTCATTAGCATGCCCAACACTTGAGTGTCTGCGGTCGCTTTGTTGTGAGAACAGGTACTATTTTGAAAACTATATTTATTCATATCTGGCATACTTTTAGGCGGCCGCTTGGCCACATCGTCGCCCCTATCGTGGGATTTATTGCACACTTTTGCGCGGCGCTGCAAATGGCACAGTAAAAGCTTTTCGACTACCACTTTGAATTGCACTCGAAGTCCACTTGGCATAAAATGCAACGCGATAATAACGGAGATAGCCTGAAGCCGCAGAGCTTCCAGAGCGCGCTGACAAATCGAAATTTATTATAAACGCAATTGAAAAATCCCCAAGCCGCACTTGAGCCAAAGCACCAAAGCCATGGCAGCCAAGTAGTTGTAATCCCGCCACCCATTCCCACAAAAGCTTTGCCAGCGTTGCCATACAACTCATTGCGACACGTCAAAGCCATCGAGAGTGGAGCTGAAGCCGGAGCTGAAGTTGATGCTGATGTTGTTGCTGTTGCTGCCGCGTAACCAAAGCGGATTTCGAATTGACACAAAACAGACAAGAGCCAAATTCAGATCGTTTAGGCGCATCCGAAGCACATACCCTCTTACATATATACGCCCATTTATATATAGATATACACATGCATATAAAATGTACATACATACGTGTATGCAGATATGGACTACGCTGCAAGCAAATTTGTTGCAATGGAAATGCACTTAGAAAAACATTGATTGATTGAAATTGTTACTTTTTAAAAGTCTATTCAACTCAATTTGAATAACAAAATGGAATACGAATTTTTAAATATTTACTTCATTTTGACTATTTTACAGCCATAAAAACAAATCATGTAAGTCGCGAACTCCTGTTTCGAAAGTTTAAATTTAATGTTAATTTGCCATTTAGTATGTATATTCATTTCATTACAATTTTTTAAACTATAATACGCAACGCAATACGCAATTTTGTAGATTAAAAATGATGTTATATCGTAATAGCTAAAGTGGAAAATGTGATAGGCATATTAGTTTAAGAAAATTATGAAATTACTAGCAGGTATTGCCCGTCTTAACCCGGCTCAATATAATGTTTCCAATTGTATTTGTTTTGTGTGTGCATAACCTACCCATATGTTTTCACCTTATAAGTTACCAGTAGGAAGGCATTTAAGGTATTTAAATGAACATTTTCTGTTCTTGACAAAAAATTGTTCAGTAGTCCGTTACATTTTTGTTCTTGCCAAACTATTTCGTTCAACGAACATGACCACTATAACTAATATTTTTTAAAGCTCGTTTTCCCCCCGTTGGAGCTAGAATTTTCCAAAAGCCTTTCTTAGTGTGCTCCTACACTATGATGGATACTATGAAAGGATACTTGAGTCCAAATTTCATCTTTTACCGTTTGGGCTGTGCGTTGATCACCAATTAGTCAGGACAAACTGTTTTATATATTGAGATAACGCAACGTTTTAAGATAGACTATGTGCAAAAAAGGGGAATAATTATAAGGGTATATCCTAATTTTAAATTCACATTTGAGTCAATACGGTCACGCACAAACTCGGAATATGAAACACGGCACTCGTGTCAATGCCGTGCAGCGATGAGCCACGATCAAAAAGCACTGACAATTCTCATCTCAATTTGCTAGAGTAAAACTTTCGATAGTTGAAGCCACCGATACCATCAAAATATCGAAGTTTGAATGCAATAAGCAGAATATTTAAATAATAAAATCTAATTATTTATTGAGATCAATAAGAACAAATCATACATACATACATACATCTGCCCGCAATGCGAAGCAGAATATGCGTAGCTCCGTTATTCGGTTTCTGCTTTACTATCGCATACGCAGTCGTTGCTTAGCGACGGTAACTGTAAACTTTTGGCGTTTTGCCTTTGCAATTAACATTAAATGGTCAAAACGAAAGAAGATGTGCGAGCCAACAACTTAAAGTTGTTGTTGTTGTTTTGTATGTACATGCTACATACATATACAGGCATACATGCATATGCATGTATGTACATATGTATGTATGCATGGGCACACATAGACACGAACTGTTGCTTGTTGTATGTATGTGTGAGTGTGTGTATGCGATGTCCCCAACTATTTGATATTTGATATATGGCAAGTAAAAAACATATTGCTATATTTTAATCGTTGAATGCCAATTTGTTGATATAATGTTGATTACATTACCCAAATTTGAAATCGATCGGACAAAATTTATAACACAAACTATTCATTTGAAAAAGTGAATAAATATTAAAACCCCAATAATAAAATTAAATGCGATATATCGAAAATATCGATACTTGTGTTGATATATCGTAATACATGTCGAATACAAATACATCGAAAAACATCGTTTGAGAGTTATTGATTATAATACTGTATTCGATTGTTCACTGTACACATATGTACATACATACATACATACAAATGTATTTGTGTGTGTACGGTAACTGTAAACTTTTGGCATTTTTCGTATGCAATTAACAGCCGTAAATTATCAAAACGAAAGAAGTTTTGCGAGCCAATAACTTGTTGTTGTTGTTTTAAAAATTTTGATTTGAAAACATAGAACACTATTTATTACAATTAAACAACAGTGTTCGATGGCCCACTGCATACATACAAACCTATATATGTATATAAGAATGTATGTACGTACATACATACTTATTGATGTACATATGTACATACTATACATACAGACGTATGTATATATGTATGTACGTATGTAATACATATGGTGCTGGTGTAATTCATAATGCGAAATTCTTTCTAAGGGGAGCAATGTCCCCCCTGCCCAACCTGCGTACGCCCTTGTAGTCCGTTGTCCTAAAATCCCTTATGCCAAATGTACTAAACAAAGAAAAAATAACATAAAAATGTTTATGTTATAATGTTAATAATTTTTAATTAATTAACATTTCTTGCCCTGTCAGTGCAAGACGAATGTACTTTTATACATATGTATGTATGTATATATGTACATACATTTGTACAAATGAACATTCACACATTAGTGTCTCACATTTTGCTTTGGCTACTTCAACCGTTTGCACGCAACTACACGAACAGCTGCTTGTATATATGTACATATGTGTGTGTGTATGTATACTTAGTTGTCCCCAACTGTTTGATATTTTGTATTGTTTGTTCTGCCTGCATTTGTAAAATGCATATTTTAAAAATCGTTAAATGCAAAGTTGTAATTTTAGTTACGTAGATTATATTACCCAAATTTGAAATCGATCGGACAAAATTTATAACACAAACTTTTCATTTGAAAAAATGAATAAATATTAAAACCCCAATAATTCAAGCTCCAACGCAAATTTCGAAAAACCGAGTATGCAGTTTTGTTTGTATTCTTTTATAGATTATAAAAACCAAATTTAAAGTTGATCGATTCAGAAATGCAGAATTTTCAAACAAACTGTGGAGCTACTTTTCCCCCCTTTGGAGCTCGAATTTTCCAAAATCCCTTCTTAGTGCGCATCTACACCATGATAGGATACTTGAGCCCAAATTTCAGTTTCTTAGCTTTTACCGTTTGGGCTGTGGGGTGTTGATTGTGTTTCAATTTTTCCACGGAAAACCCCCCCTTTTTCATGCCCCAGGAAAAATGGTGAAAAACCAAGTATACAGTTTTTCTTGCATTCTTTTTGAGAGTATACAAACTAAGTTTGAAGTTAATTGGATGAAAATTGTAGATTTTTCATACAAACGTTGGAGCCCGTTTTCCCCCCTTTGGCGTTCGAATTTTCCAAAACCCCTTCTTAGTGCTCACTTTCACTATAAGAGGGATCTTGTGTCCAAATTTCAGCTTCCTAGCTCTTACCGTTTGGGCTGTGCATTGATTGCCAATCAGTCAGTCAGTCAGTCAGTCAGTCAGTCAGTCAGTCAGTCAGGACAAACTGTTTTATATATATAGAGATTGTGTTCAACGCTGAGTGTTTCCAAAACTTTTTCTTTATGTGTGCAGCATGCAAAATTTGTAAGCAGCGCGAGTTCTCAATAAAACCACAGCCAACGCAACCCAATGCCAGTAAAGCCAGTAGTTGGCCTGTCAGGCAGACGAATAGTCAGGCTATCAGATGGACGGACGGACACACCGAGAGTTGGAGTACACTTTAGTTGCCATAACAAAGCCACCATTCAAAAGACTGGGATTCACTGTTTCTGTACCACTCTCAACCTCTCTAAACCTCTCTCTCTCTCTCTCTCTCTCTCTCTCTTTCTCACACACACACTCTTTTGGGATGTATATGATGGTAAAGGTCTATCAACATGTTGTCGGGGTCGACCAGGGCTAGCATTGTCCATTCCCTCCACTGGCTCCTGCCCGTCTCTGTGCGTTGCCATGTCACAACATTGTGACAACACTCATTCAAATTTATTTATGTCTGGGAATAACACGTGCTATATACTTAGTTTTGTTTTCCATATGCCCGGCGCTTTGTGGCATGTGAGCTGCTGTTGTAATATCAGATTTTGGCTGGCCAGTTCAGCTGGCAGTTCAGCTGGCAGCTGCCCACAAAGCAACCGAATTTGTTGCTGCTTCCCAATCTTATGCCAGGATTTGCTCGGTACAGATAACTGCGCAAACATATGTGTATACACGAGCATACACTGAATCGCACTTGCCATAAACAACAACATAAACAGTTAGTCTGCTTGGGCTGGTGGGTGAGGAGGCGAAGGAGAGTGGGGGAAGTACATTTGGTTGCCTGGATACGTACCAGTGCTCGGTGGGCGGGACACTCATAAGCATTCATTGGAAATCCTTTTCGATTTATTTGCGTATTCAAACGGAAACATTTAAAGTGATTGCGGATGCAAATTTCTCAAGGATGTAACGGCAACAGCAACAACAGGAGCATCGTAAACAACAACAACAACCATTTCTTGCTGTGTTTTTTTTGCCATTTGAAAGATCTGAGCGTTACCAGCGCGTGCTCGGCAACGTTTGCGGTTTTTTGCGCAAACTTCACACATTCTCTTATGCTATACATTGGCTTTGCTTTTATTGTTGCCTCGCAATGAGAATTTCAAAATCGTACTCGTACCTACGTGTTTGTGTGTACGTAGCAACAGGTGCTTACGTTAGTCGATAGAATAAATATCAATCATACGCACCAATAGCCAGTGGCCATGCATTATCTTTTATTTTGTATGAATTGGCTTTAAATGGCGCTGATGTTTTTTCAAGCAATTATCGTGGCTACATTTTTTTATAGCTCATCGCCGCTTTTGACACACATACGCGACTTGCTGGTTTGCCTCAAGTAGTTGGGCCCATTAATTTCACACTAAATTACTAAAACGAAAAACTGTTAATGACTTGAAATTGGCGAACAACTGAACTCACGCGCTAACTGTATCAAGCAGCGATCATCTGCTTTAATTCCAATGCCCCCCCACTACAGTTTCAAAATGCGGGAGGCACTAATTACTTTGTCTCACAATCAATATTGTCGTAAATAGTGGCAGGCGTTGTTTGCGTTTCATTTGTGGATAATCCATGGCCAACGAAACTCAGTTATCTCTTATACATCTTTGATTTTCAACCCAGGTTCAGGTCTATCCGAGCAAATCAAAAAAACGAAATTTAAACATTAATAATATACAGTACAAGAGGGCTGCCGACATCACTTGTATTTTTTTATGCTTTTTTGTATATATATGAGGTATTGTATGGGGAAAAAATAGTGTTATCTTCCATATTGGTGATAGTCTATTAGGCAGCGAATGCAATGGCTATAACGGATCTTCTAATGCGGAGCATTTCACTTTGCCACTACAACAGCAAATGGCAGGCATTGCTCCAGGACGTTTCTTACAGTATTGGTAATCTCAGTCATTTTTCCAATATGTCCATGAACGATGTAATCTGCCACTTAGTTGCAAAATATGCAAACTCCAACGGATGAACAATATCTGTAAGGCATATAGATTTGTATTAGTTAGTTAGTTTGTCTGTATTTTGAAAATGCCCAGCATTCTTACACAGAATTCTGTCACACGTATGTAACATACAGAAGGAGGCGTGGCAGACCTCACAAAGCTCATGTAGTATGTATATTCTTGATCCGTATGACTTGGCCAGTCGATATAGCCACATCTGTCTGTCTGAATGTCCGTCTGAATGAACGCAAGCATATCGGAATTTATTAGAACTGGAAAAATCAAACTTTAATAAAATATTTCCCTGAGCCCCAAGCAAGTCAAGATTGTGTTTTTCCAAATGCACCCCCTTCTCCAGCTATTCATGATAATTTCAAAAGCTCTCGTGCTTATGTCATTTTATAGTGGTAGGTCGGTTGTTAAGAAAGTTAAAGCCATAATTGTAATCTCAGACCACTTCTTCAGCTACTCCAATATTCTGTGTGGAAGTGATTGCAAGAAGTGTTCATGTTGACAGTATTTATTGACATATTTATATATTGCGTATACGTAGTGAGGTGCCTACATCAAATTATTTATTTAATAACTCCAGTTGAATAGACTTCAGTCTGCGGCCATCGGTCATTGACCAATCTAATGCAATCTAATCTAAGTATAAACCATTACAATTAAATTTAATAAGATGAACAGATAAGATATGTAAGGTCCAAGTGATTGCCGACGATGTTTAATAGATGTACTTATGTATTTGTAAACTAAAAACAAGTTGAAAAACTACAAGTATATCGATTGAAATATTCTATGCATGTCTGTGTGAGAGCATGTATGTAGTAAAGAGTTGAGTCAATGCAAGAACAACATCAACAGCTACTGGTAGAGCTTGGGCAGAGATTACGTTTTTGGCTATAACTTCCTATAAAATTGACCTATCATGATTAAACTTGACATACAGAAATATAAGCACTAATTCAAAGAATTTCAAATATATTTGAACTGCGTACACATATAAGGCGTTTTGTATCTCTAGTTGTTATGGTCTTCGACATCTAGGTTTTCATACGAACGGTGTTACGGAAAATCCCTATTACTCGTACTGCGTACATATATTAGGTATCTGTGTACAATATTTGGCGCCTTATAGCCTCTGAGATCAAGCTGTTCATATGAAAGGATAGACATGTCTATCAAGAGGGTATACATATATACTGTGGGGGGGGGGGGGGGTCTGCCACGGCTTTTGAATGTTACACGTCATAATATATATATATGTACTCTTGTACCTTTCAGGTGCAGAGGATAATAAATACAATGAAAAGATCACTATGCTCTAATAATTGTTGGATACTTAATTCAAGATAATATTAACAGCAAAGGGGAAGGAAAATCAGTAAGTTCATGATTACATGGCCATATGGCACTAGTTATTGCAGCGATGCTTTACCCGCTTAAGTTAGGACCTTCCTTCAGCTTATAAGTATAATATTAATTTTCAATCTATTCTGTATTATTCAACAAGTATGCTGTGTGTGAAAACTTTGTTGATTTACAATCGAATTTTTACTGGATTAAATCGATGTCATATTATATTATTGTAATACGTTTGCACATTATTTGCTTGTCGACAATATACTCGTATGTATGTAAATTTTTGCACAAACATATACAATCGACACATTAGTAGAAGATGTTTGCCTACTCCAAACAAAAAGCTTAAAATTCTAGAGCGCCTTTACAGCGCATTGTAAAGCCAATGTAAACTTAGATAGCTCAACCAGAGTAGAGTAAATACCGTGGACGATATGAAGCACTACTACGGTACGATCACTACTTTAGTGTATAAGTACGCCAAACTGTATTTTTATATTGACGTAGTGTCACTTTTATGAGGGTGTATTGGAGATTTATAAATTAATGTTAATGTTTTAATATTATTTTGTGTTTACATACCAAGAAACTACACACATTCAATAATTGTAGCAATACTCGTATACTTGAAAAAATGGAAAAATAATCACAACTTAGGATGAATCTGCCATACTAATACTTGTCTGAACTCACATGTTGATGCGGATAACAAGATGAGCAGCGAAGGAAATTACGAGCCCAAAAGCCGCTTGTTAACACCATTATTCACTTCGGTCAACTCGGCGCTTTTGCGATCTCAGCTTGCTTTTGTTGCCCAGTTGTTATAGTAATAAAAAAAAAACAAAGAGACGACGTTGTATCCTTTCCCAATGATCATAATGTTTGCTCATATACTTGTACTTACATGTAGTATGCGCGATTCTATACTTGCGATTCTATATAACTTTAACGAGTAACTTTAATCAAATAAGGTTTGGAATGGGCAATCATGTTAAAGTGTGCTAAGTGTTAAGACTCGCCTTAGGCTTAACTATGTAAATGTGATTTGCAAACAATTTTAAAATCAATACCACTTATTGGAACAAAGCTAATTTCATAAATATTTAAATCAAATAAAAAGTTACACTCAGGCAACTTAAAAAGTATCTGTAAGTGAATTTATTTGACACATTAATAGACGTGTCTATATCGATGCAGGCCATCATTTATCTTAATTTTATATTTATTGTAGAATACAGTTTATTCTTGGTGCAAATTATTAAAAAGATGTTTAGAATTTTCTTTTCAGTGTCTTCGAACGCCTTCTAAAAATTGATTTTAAACTATACTTGTACTTGAGAATAACCTCAAAACAGACTATAGGCAACACGCACACATAAATATTTAAACAGTTGCACCGACGCCTTGTGCGAGTTGCCTGCCACATTCAAAATGCAATACGACTTCAGTAAGTGGTTAATTTAGGTAGCTGGCTGGTTGCGTGGTTGCTTTAGCATAAATCTGTAACGAATTACCAATCAATTGACCGACAAAACAAACAAACAAACACAGATAGAGACACAAACACTAAGACAGACATTCAAGAGCCCAGAGGCGGACAGGCGGGCAGACGAACAAGCGAACAGGAGAGTTGAGGATCAAGTTGTAAATAGCAACCACAAAGACGTGGTAGGGTGTGGGTGCTACGTTTTAGTGGTGCAGGCGGTTGCAGAGCTATTTCAAATTGAAATTGTTTGCAAGTGAAGCAAAACAATTTAAATAAAATGTGGAATTAACGAATGACGCGCACTCGAAACGGAAAGGGGCCCATCACCACTAGCTGTGAATAATTCAGAACGGCAGCGGCTACATCGAGCACGCTGAGGGAGGCACTGACGTTAGCGGTGCAAGAAATTAAATCAAATAGTTTTATCATGCAAAATAAATCGCTCAACTTAGCAGTGTTCTGTGGATATCGCACATACGCCACGTTGCCCGCGACGCCGGCATCAGCGAGCCGCCAAGCAGAAGCCCAACCACCGTGCTTACGAGCAGTGCTTGCGGTGTTGTGTTTCAGTAAGCGTGTGGTGCTCAACAGCCACAGATCGTCGACGTGCCTCGAGCTCAAATTCTCGCTCTAAGCGTGTCCACGCTCGCGACGCGTCTATGTGTGTATCTCTGGGTGGAAGTGTATGTGTGTGTGTTAGTGTGAAAACTAACAAGCCCACAAATATTTGCTAGCATCAGAGAAACAGTGAAGTAAAGGGAGTGCTGTGAATGCGCAGACTTCCTGTCTCGACGCAGCCACTTACGCCTCTAATTCCCTAACGTATCCAGATACGTGCTGGAAAGGTAGCAGCGCGGATTTGAACGGTCGACTGCCGGCAAGGAGGTGCAAAGTGCAGACCCGCATCCAGACATCAGCCAATCGAGCACCTCAACAACTGCGGCGTTGGACTTAAGCTGCATCCTTTGTTGTTCCTCTTTCTGTTGCTCTCCATCGAAGTTGCAACTGCTCACCAACAGTTTAAAATGCATTTGCCCGCTGCGAAAGTGTCGGGCTATGTTGCCCTGATGATTGTGCAAATAGTTTTTCTTGTACTATTCTGGCTATTCGTGCGTTATCACAAGGGGGCGATGCCGATGGCAATAGGAGGGGATGGCGATGGCAAAAAGGAATCAGAGCCCCTGGGCGAAGGCGGCATTTCCAAATATCCGCGTAAGTCACCTTCATTACAAACTGAACATTTTTTTGCACGAAAACAAAACTTAGAAAAGTTACCGTAAACATTTACAAGATCATAGGAATATAATATTTAAGATATCACTTATCGGTATGTGGGCAACCAACACCCTGAAGGAAGACGGAATAGTTAGGTCCAATTTCACAATTATGTCATGGGCGCAATAATGCTCCAGTAAAAAGGCCAGTTTTTCAAACGAGTAAAACGTTAAAGCCGCGCTTGACGTATACCCTGTACCCGTTCCTCATTAAGAATATACATTCTTGATCAGCATGACAAGACGAGACAATCCAGCCTTGTCTGTCTGTCGGTCAGTGAGGCACAAAATTTTAAATGAAGATGCTTTATGTGTGTACGCTGTGCATGTTTTATAATTACTTATTCATTTTTAATTAATTCTTAATATCTCAATCTTTAGACGAAGGGACACCAAATTTTCAGAATTTTCGTCCCTCCCCCTTTTTTCCAGCAAACAGTATTTTCCATAACTTCTGTAATTGTTTGCATTTTTGAATGAAATTTAAATACCCCAGTTATTGATTTTGTTGCCGTAAGAAAAATTTCATTATGATAGGTCAATATAAAAGGAAGTTATAGCTATATATGTTATCTGTACCCAAGCACTGCCCGCAACTGTTGTTGTTATTGCTGCTTTGGCTGAACTCTGTACTGCATTTATTTATATTTTACACATATGAATGTACAGATTAACTCAAAGTTAACACCCGACTTTAGCATAAATACAATACTTTCTCTTTCTTATTCTATAAAAATTTTACTTATTTTAATTTTACACGCTCTATCTTATTTTATCCCGACGGTGAAAAAGATTTACTTTTCATTAAATATTCTGATATGTGTGACATAAATCGCTGTCGTGATCCTATTTTCATTAAAAACATCCATTAGTGAGAAAATGGACTACTTTAACAAATAAATTGATTTCGACTACAAGATATTGAGTTTTGTTACTTAGCCCGATTATTTATCAACACACAACAATCAGCCCTCGTATTTTGCTTTCAAATATATAAAAGTAGAGAGCTTAGCGCAAAAAATTTGGAGCAAATTCTCTGCAAGCATAAAATGATAGTTCTTCATACATACATATGAAGAATACAACTTGAATTTTCTCACATGAAATGTAATTGTTTGCTCACAACTTTTCATTTGACACGTTTGCAGTATTGCTTTTCATTTGCAAGAATATTCTCTTTCACAACAAATCCAGGATTAGAAAATAGTTAGTTAGACGGAATATTGTGTCGGTCTAATATACATTTATACTTATTACAAATAAATGAAGCTTTAGTATTTTTATGTGGTCTTCGCAGAGCCCTTGGTACCAATTCCATTAATTACTTGGCCTTCTTGCATCAGACAAGAGGCCATAGTGGAAAACAGCGACGTGCCGAGTCCGAGCCAAACAGATGAATAATTAAAGTCATTAATTTCAATTTATGCAAATGCGTCTGTAAACAACTTGTTGCAATTCATAATAAATAAATTAAACAGTATTTCACACTAATTGCACCCTCACACACCCACCACACACACAACCATGCACATGCATATGGCTGATGAAAAGTGGGCTTGGGTGGGTGGTGGAGTGGGGATGGCGAGTGGACGATGCCGCGCTAGCCATACTGACATCAATCTCAATGCAATTGACTTTTGGCAGTAGACAATTGAGCATCTAATTGAAACGAGTTGACTCAATTAATAAGCGTGCCACTCGCACACACACACACACACACACAAACACATACAAGCTTAGAAATGCATCACAGTTATTTGTCTCACTCTTCTCTTTGTAGAATTTCAGGATGTCCAGGTTATGATCTTTGTTGGCTTTGCCTTTCTGATGACCTTCCTGCGCAAATATGGTTACAGTGCGACTGGATTTACTCTCTTCCTGGCCTCCTTAGTGGTGCAGTGGTCAATATTGATGAAAGGATTCCTGCACCTGGAGGGCGGTAAGATCATGTGAGTATACAGACAGTCAAAAAATGGCCCTTGTCCATATAATTAATTGCTTCATGGCCATTAATTAATTGCACTTTCGTATGCTCGCACAAAATGGACATGGCCATGGCCACGACTCCCAATTGGTGGTAGGAGGAGAAGGGACGCAGACGGCAACGCTATTTGGCATAACAAATATACTTATGAAATAGCAGAAAATTGTCTGAAGTCCAAAAATGAATTCCAGCAAGTACTTTAAATGAGCAAGTCAAGTCATGAGTCGTGGGGTGTGCGGGAAGGCCTGGCTGGGAAATTGGAACTCTGAGACAATTTATGCTAAGTGAAGTAAAAGGAACCGGACAAAAAGTCAAAAATGTTAAACAGAACTGCAAAGTAGGAGAAATTCCTAACGTCTCCTTAGGTCGTCGGTGTCGAAGTACTGTGCAAATAGTGTTGTGATAAGCCCTGGAATATACCCTTTTTTCTGAAAATAGTATTTGTGATGAGCCCTTTCTCTCCCTCTTTTTTTTATTTTAGATAAAAGTCGCATATACGAATTGCCGTGGTGCTCAAATAAAGATGGTTACTTTTACGGATTGGTACCAAATGTGAACATATTTTATCAAATTTAAACCATTTTTTGCAAATCAACATAACTACTACTTAACCATTTTTGAACTCCTTCAAGCAAGAAATGTTCCCGTTTTCAAACGGGTTCACATTTCTCTCTCTCTGTGTCTTTATATCTATACCAAGCATATCCACACATATGTACTATTAATATTTACTACAAAAACAAAAAGTTAAGCAAGTTTTTGACACAGAAGGAAAGAAGGAAGTGTGTAAAGGGCAAATTAGAAATATCACCGGTCAGCTAATGACACTTGTTTGTTTTAAGATGCTCTAACAATCATGTACTCTTCCATTTCAGGCTATCGCTGGAGAGTCTCATTGATGCTGACATTGCCGCCGCCGTGCCTTTGATAAGTATGGGCGCTTTACTGGGCCGCACCACGCCCATACAATTGCTGTTCATGGCCCTTGTGGAGATTGCTCTCTTTGCGGCCAACGAATTTGTGGCATTGAATGTGTTGAAAGTAAGTATTTTTTGTGTTTGGAAAATGAAGTGGAATATACAAGTATTTTCGATTTAATATCCCACACTAAACCTCAGCTAGAACATTAAAAAATACAAAATATAGTTGCTTCATTATCTATTGAGGAAGTTTGAATTGGAAAAGATTTACAATAGTTGTTTATCACCCATTCACTTTGTTGCCGAATATTTGCAGTTTATGCAGACAATTTATTAAAGAAGTAATGCCGAACTCAACATTTTATATTGAAGTGAGATATTCAAACCATTATAGAGCATAGCTGACCAAAAACGTTCATTATTTCATTTATTTCATTGAATTTTTAAGATATTAATCAACAAATAGGTTTATGGTTTGTAAAAACTAAGAAACAATACTTTTTCTATTTGGATGTTAATTCTCAAGAGATACGAGGGTGTTCGTTTTTAAAAAATTGACTTACAGCTACTACCATTTGTTATCCTTTCTTACAGATTACAGATACTGGTGGTTCCATAACGGTTCATGCTTTCGGCGCGTACTTTGGCTTGGCCGTCGCATTCATTCTGCGTCCGAGCAAGGACCAGAACGAGGCCGGGAAGCACGAGGGGCCCACCTACACCTCAGACCTTTTCGCGATGATTGGCAGCTTGTTTCTTTGGATTTACTGGCCCAGTTTTAACTCGGTACTGGCCCAGGACACGGGCTCTGAACGGGCAATTTTGAACACGTTCCTGTCATTAGCCGCGGCAACAGGTGAGTCACGTGCTCTCAGTCCGGCTGCACTGCTCCTTGCATGTGCTCCTTTGCATGTGCAATGGTTGGAGTGGCCATTAGAGATGGGGCTGTGCAAATATTTGCAATTAGTTAGGAGCGCCAGCCTGGCAGACTCAGCGTCAGGCAGACTCAAGAGGCAGTGTCTCCTTGCTGGCCGTTAGAATATCCGTTAATTATTATGTTGGCGGGCCTATTAACACGCCACCTGCGCAGCAATTGAAAAAGCAGCTTTAATGTTTTAGCTTCTTATGTATGCTCCTCACAAACAAATTAAATGTCAAATAGTTTCGTTAACACATTTGAAAATTTATTTTGAACACGTACAGCACATAAAAACGGCGCCATAGCAGCAAAAGCTGCATCCGTATAGAGTCCAGGCTGTCTCTGTAAAACAGTGAAGATATGTTTTGAAATACACTAAGGGTTACATTATTTTAGAAATGCTGTCGACTTGATTGGATTAGTTCAACTATAGCTTAAGATAGACTGCGAAATCAGAGCTCGAGATAAGGGATAAGATATATAGATAAGGTATACATATATATATATATATATATATAAGAAAAACACTTGTTATCCAAGGTTCAACTTTCCAGTTAACTCAATTTTTTTTATGAGTCTTAAGTTGTTTTGTTCTGAAAGAGCTACATTATTGAGAGCTATATGGGCAAGCTATGGTTATATTATTTTTTTAAAGATACTTCATTTAGTCAGTTCGTTGTTGCCGGTTGTTATAGACAGAGAAAGAAGATATTGGCAGTGTAAAGTTGTTGTTGTAAGGTACAGTGAAGGGTATACAGTAGCTTCGGTGAAGGTGAAAATATAGTAAGTCCAAGTCCGTTTTAAATCATATCCTTGGACGAAAATAAACTAGTCCTATTTTTAAATTCCCTTATATTGGTAGTTAACTGTAGATATTGTCACACAAGTGTGTGCATGTACTCTACACGAGTATGTGTTAGTTTCTGACCATGCTTATAGAAAATGTGCTAAAAGCCAAAACAACACCAATGGGTTACTGGCCAATGCAAGGATAACATGGCGTGTGTGTGTGTGTGTGCTTTGGTTTGGCTCCCTCGCTAGCTGGCTGGCTCACTGGCTCGGTTAATGTAAATAAGAAAACACAAATTAAATGTATACGGAGGCAGTAGAGGTAGTAGAGTCAGTCGAGGCAGTAGAAGCAACTGAGATAAGCCAAGCTGCTGTGGGCGGCTTCTGGCGACCCGCTCTTGACCACCGTGCGACACTTGGCCGGCTGTGGTCTGGCCGAGTATTAAAGTCCATGTGGACGCGGTGCAGGAGGTACGAGCAGGGTGCGATAGCCAAAAAAGTGCCATCGCCCGGCGGGAGGGAGCGACATGTGTGCGGCCGTAGGACATTTTGTGCGGAAGGATGTGCGATTAGTTGAGTCAACGGGCGGCCGGGTCGGTTGAATGGTCGGTCGGTTGGTCGGTTGGCTGGCCGGTTGGCTGATGGTCGTTCTGTCGGTCAGATGGTTGGTTACTTGTCTCGGTAGTTGTTGCCTTAATTAAACTAAAGCCGGGGTTCGGTTCAATGTTAAAATTAGAGGCAGACTTGTGTCGGTGTCTATGTGGGTGGTGTGTGTTGGTAATGCGGGTGCGGCGACATGCATGGCGGACGACAAGGACGATGAGGACGCTGAGGACGCCATTCGATGCTCAAATGCGGCGCCAACAGCAAAAATACGCCCCAGTTGTTGTTTTCACACCATACACAATAGAACGAGCGAACGACGACCATAGTCGGACGGTTTCCTCTTCTCTCTGCTCTTGTCTGGGTGGCTCTTCGCCCCCGCGCCCCCGCGCCACAGCCCGGCCACCCGCTGCCAGCATTAGCCAACAACGTTGAGCACAGAACACATTTTATAGTCGCAAGTGACACCATTGGCGTTAATTTAAATTGTTTAATGTGCGAGCCAACAACAAAATCAGCAACAGCAACAACAACAAGAACGACATCAACACGTTTTTGGCTTAGCTCTGCTTTGCCTGATGTTGTACTTGCTGTTGCCCGTAAAAAAGCTGTTTAATTGATTTTAAAGCCAGAATCTGTTGTCAGCCTGCTGCTTGGCCCGACGCTTTGTGCCGGGACATGCCTCGTAATTTCTGGTCGCTTTTGTGAAGCCTGGACAATGTCAAAAGCTGTTTGAAATTGTTGCGGTTTCTTGCTGCCAATTTGGTCGCTCTTGTTGTTTTTTCCTTTGTTGTTGTTGTTGTTGTTGTTGTTGCTGCTGCTTGTGTGGCTGCTGTGTTGTGATTTGCGCTGCTTATTTGCACTTGCCACTGTCCTGGTTTTAAACTAATTTATGCAAATTATTATTACTGCAACATATGTTTGGTAATAAAATGGAGATTTTTAGGTATTTAGTGTTACTTTGCTGAGATTTATGCGTGTTTCCGCAATAAACTCAAGTGTGGTTGTTGCTGCTGTTGTTATTTCTAGGACAACACGCACAGCACAGGCATATGAATGGCCTTGTTTACATTTTTATTAGTTTTTTGTTTATGAACTGCGATCCTGTTGGTCACGACTTTAGTCATCCACTTTGCATTGGCTGGTTAATGTAGTGTACAATACTTGTAGTTAAGAATTGTTCGAAGCAGTCAGAATACGTATGTGCTTGCCAAGCTAAGCATTCTGCAATTTTGGGATGCTCTCTCTTTGAACTCATTAGAATAGAACATAAATAACATAAATTCCATTCTCGATATCAATAATAGCATTTACATTTGTCTTTAAACCGTAAAATAACACAAATTATATGTTCTTATAATTTTTTCTTCTGCTATGGCCGCATATAACTCAGAGCCGGAAGTTCGTCTGGGTACAGAGTATTTTACTGTCGGGCAACTGTTGCCGTTTCTGAAATCCAGGCGTTCATCCAGACAGACGAACTGACAGACGGATATAGCTTTATAAATTTCCCTCGCTATCCTGATGAAGAATATGTACACCTTATGGGGTCGGAGATTCCAAACCTAATATACCTTTTTTACCCTTCGGCTACAAGGTATAAAAAGCTACTCTGTTATAAAGTTATTTTTCTGTCCTATGCAGCTATATACAAAAGTAAGGCTTGCTCTTCGAATGGATAATAATAGTATAGTCAAGTTTGGTGCCCTAGTTATTATCATTCAAAGTTCTTAGTGTTCATAAGGACGGATGGGCATCTATGTATATGTCGACGCGGCGCTTCAAAATGCTACTATATGGACATTGGTTTTGTCACGCCTCCCCATGCTTGTTAAATAACTTTGTCTCTTATGCTGATCAGATGGCAGATGGACGGGCATGCCTAACTGATTTGTGTCTTTATACTGATCAAATCTGCCTCCATCTGTATGTTACATTTTTCATTTATAGTTTCTGGTATAGTCTTAGCATTTCGAGTACAACGTATAATTACTTATTTTAGCCCGATGCAAGTATAGGCTTATAATAACCATAGATATTGTGGTAGGGCATATATGTACCAATACCTGCACATATAGAGTAAAAACGAGCACAATTAAATTTTGGAACTTCTCATCTCCATCTGACAAACAGTTTCTAATGTTATTGCTTTCGATTTTCTCTCTTTACAGTCAGCGCCTTCGTTGTATCCGCAATTGTGAGCCATGAGAATAAGCTGGATATGGTGCATGTGCAGAACTCGACGCTCGCCGGCGGCGTTGCCGTGGGAACAGTCTGCAATTTTCTGATCGGGGCCCATGGCGCTGTCTTAATTGGCATTATCGCCGGCACTGTTTCAGTGCTTGGCTATCGCTATTTAACTGTAAGTTAAACAAGTGCCAGCAGATTGTCGAAAAACAGAAGGGTTAAGGGGAAGGGGCATACAAGTATAAACTATACAGGCATGCTTACAAATGCCTAGATGTGTCTAGAGCCCGACCGAGCTGGATACATGACCAAAGAGCAACGTTTCCATGTGCCGTTGAAGTTGCAGTTGTTAATTAGTGCCATTGGACTGTCAGGACTCCGGCCCGTGCTTGTGAAAAATGTGACGCTAATGAGTAAAGTTTGTTGCCCGACGGGCGCTTGGCACACCTTCTCTGGAGAATGGCATGTAATTCAGTGACATTTCGAGCGATGTTCATAAATTTGCACTTTTTAAACGGCTGGATGGCATTAGCTTGAATTTAAGACTGAGGGGTGTATTTTGGGGGATGCCGGGCGTTGTTCGTTTATAACGTTTAACGCGTATTTTTCACTTTTACATTAAATTCAATTTCATATGCAAATTACTCACTAAATTGCGCACTTTGGCTGCACATCGTTCAAACGCCAAAGCAATGGCCGCTCTTTGAGTTGCGCAAACTTTTGTGAGTTCCCACATGCATGCATGTGAGCACTTAAATATTCAATTTTCAAACAAACCCCTGGCAGGGAACGGTCACAAACTGTGAAAGTAGCCGCCACACGATGAATGCAAACTAATTAGCAGAGGGCCCACATATTAAACATCATAAAGGTGGTTTCGTGCCCCAGCACGACATTTACACAAAAATTGAGTATAAATTATAGTAGTTGTCATACTTTGGTTTATGGTTAGTATTTGGAATCTCTTTTCTCTAAATATATTTGTAGCTATTATCTCAATCCAGGATTATATTTAATATTTATTGCTCAATTTTAAAAACAATCATTTAGAATGCTGCATGAATCTTGCTAGATGATAGTCATATTCTAAAGCAGCTGGATTTAAGCATAAACCAAACGTTTGTTTTGTTAAGTGGCTTTTGAAACTTACAAAATAACAAAATACGATGAATGCTAATTATTATTTGAATAAAACAAGCTAATGTTTGTTTGTGGGTTACACAGTATTGGATTGGATTGAAATAAATCCACAACTCGTTCAATTGATCCTTTCTGCCGCAAAATGTTTGCTTCCACTTATAGGAATATTTAAATAAACTGTCTGCGGGACTGCAATATTTGTTAGGAAATGAAAGTTGAGAGTTGAGAAGAATGAATTTTTTAATTTTAGGTGAATAATATTCAAATTTTATTATGTATAATATTATCTTTTTAAAAGAGTCTACAGCCTCTGCAGACGAGCAGGACATCCCACAGAAATTTTGTAGATTGTGTTGGCATACTGCAATATTAATTTAAATCTGATCAGATCATGATTAATTTTGTTCCATGTTTCAGCCCTGGCTTACTGCTAATCTGCGACTGCACGATACCTGCGGCGTACACAACCTTCACGGAATGCCGGCACTTATATCGGCCATAGCATCGATTATATACGCTTCACAAGCAACGATTGAGGGCAGCTACGAGGCGGAGATTTGGAAAGTCTTTCCGGCCTGGGATAATTCATTAGCCGACAATGAACACCAGGCTGGCATTCAAGCGGTCCATCAATTGTATGGAATCGGAATGACCCTGCTCATTGCCATTGGCGGTGGCATTCTTATGGGTATATTTTAAAACTAAATGATCTCAAAATGAAAAGTTACTTAGCATGTCACTTTTTAGGTGCCATTTTAAAGTATACAAGCTTCCGCAACTTGCAGAAGGACGAACACCATTTGGACGAATATTTTTGGGAGGTTCCAGAGGAAAAGAAGGACGAATAGTTGAGTGTTTAAAGATGCTTACGAAAATATCACAATGGCACACTCACTCTCCATTGCAATCAAGGCACCAGCACTATTTGTATTTTAGCTTTGAAAGGACATTGTGAGCTGTGTCCTAAATGCTACCCCTTCCTTCAACCACTTCGTTTATGTCGCTTAATTTTTGTAGACACTTGTCGCATTTAATTAAAAAGTTCAATAATTTACACATTTAATTAGAGCCGCGCACACAAAAAGTAGCAATATAAATATATTTTTTAATGTGACATTTGTCTGCTCGTTTTCTCCACTTTTTGTTTTTGTGTCCCAAAATTTATTTTGCACGCTGCGCGCAAATTTTAATGGAATTAAAATCATACTCGTACACATAAAAATCTACCAACAAACATGCAACAACAACGATGGCAACAACTGCTAAAAGTTTAAATATGCTTGCCGAACTTTTGGCTGACGCCAGCGCCGCCAACTGCAGCAACGGGAACAATAGCAACAACACACATAGCTACAATAACTACAACAACAACAAGGGTGGCAGCCTAGCCGCCAACTTTAATTGGCGCCAATTTCTGTTACGCAACTGGAATGCAATTGTGCCAGCGAACAATTTGTATGTGCGCGGGACTCTGAAGTAAATTATTGTAATGCTTGGAGCTGCAAAGTCGAATAAAAACAAAATTCAGCACTAATTAAGTGGCCCAAGACAAAGTGTCAACTAATTAGCCAGACTCTTCGCCAACTAGGCGCCAGCCTGAGCGTCAGCATCTGACTTTAGCATGCGGCTTACAAGTCAAGCGGCGATGCGCCTCCGCAGCCACTGTCTTATGGGCAGCTTAGCCGGCGATTAGCGCACCTGAAAGAAAGAAAAAAGGCAACTTGAGAACATTGTCTTTGGCTATACAGCGGTGTGAGCTGAAGTGCGGCTCTTAGCGAGCACCCATTGAGTGAATGTGACAGCTTAAATGTCAGCTAAGAAACCACAAAAGGCAGCAATTAAGGCACAACAAGTTCAATAAAACTGATATCAGGCACATTCTTTACATAGTACACACAATCTTAATTTCTTCATTGTCAAGGGCTCGGAACTCTATATCCTACTTAGAAAGATATTTTCTTGGTTAAGTTTCTCGTTTCAAGTAAGCCAATACCATCAGATATGACAACAACACTCCCATTATTAAGTTTGACTCGAGTATTTGTTTAAATAACACATTTTTTTATTACAAGTAGTGTAATAGGTAGTTCAGGTTCACCTGTTATGGTATACTTTACTTGATTGGAGTGTGCTTACACACTTTTAATGGATTTTAATCTTAATAAACAAAGCATATAGTAGATAAACAGATTGGTATATACGTGCAAACTGTTGAGCTTTATTTTAATTGTTTTGAATTGCCAGTCCTTTAATACCCGACTATTTGCAGGCTCAGTTCAAGGTGGAAAATCTGAGCCGAAAAGAAAATCTTATCCAATTAAAATGTGGTTCTTAAATCCAATATCAATAACTTAATATCTTGCAATAATATTGGTAAGTAAATCAATTACTAGACTCTTCCTTTAAAGTGTTGCGATCTAAGTGATTTGTGGTAGAGGCACGTATTGTAAAGAGTAGTAATTATCTCAAAAGTTTTGGATGCAACCAAGTTATATCACTGCGTCGCAAGCTCCATGATAAGGCCACATGCCCAAAGCTTGCATTCACAAGGGAAAAATAATTTAAGAGTCGCCGACAAGAAGGATGGACAATAGCGAAGTAAAGAGGAGGGCGAAGAGTTCGTGCAAGGCGTGCAGTCAAATGAGTAGCCAAGACTATATAGTAGTCGATGTCTGCTGCTGGTGCTGAGGCTGCTGGTGGCAGACCAGTCTGTCGCTTAGTCTAGGAAGGGGTCTGCAATTTGGCAAAGTGTTCCCCAATGCGCCGTTCTGTCTTTGGCAAGTCGGACGATAGCGACCAGCCAGACACCAATGTCCATGTCCATGTCTATGTCTATGACGACGTCTAAGTGCTGTTTTATTTGATGTCGTGGTCGTGTGCCGCCTCACACAGACAGGCAGCCGGACAGCGAGACATACACACGTCTCTAATAATAATTAACAGCCAGCCAGCGAACAGCAGTCGAAGGAAATATATGCACAAGCACATGTGTGTTCGTATGTATGTATGTATGTATGTACACGGTGTGTCGACTGCTGTGCCCCACGAAGTATGCAACATATTCAAACATATTTTATGCATGCACTGCCAACGGCGACACACGACAAGCCAAGCCGTGACACACGGCTTTTAGTCGTCTACCTTTATTAGTATGTAGCTCAGCGAAGGCGGTGGCAACGGCAGTGGAATTGGCGGTCATAAAAAGCGCAGCTACAACAACAGTAGCAATTAAGGCGACTTTAAGCGCGTTGACAACTCTGCTCTGCAATAAAATTGTCTCTGTACGTCTACGTCTACGTCACGACATTGACTTTGTCTCGCTGATAGTCCCTGGAACAGCAAGAGAAACAGCAAGTTGTTGCTATTGTTGTTGCGAAAATGTTTTGAAGACAGCTAGGGAATTATTGTTGCAGGATGGCAGGAAGAAGTCCGGAAACTTACACAACATTTTGTAACAGTAATTTTTTTGGTGTCGTTTCCGGCGGTGTTGACATTTTGTGTCTGTTTATGGCCAGGCGGCTGGCATTTTGAAACTAAATCCTTAATGGGGGTCTGCAATAGTTACAAGCATACATACATGCTGAAAAACTCATGATTTACGTTTAAGTGACATTGGTATTTAAATATTTAGCCAATGAAATTAAACAAAATAACAATCACATGCATTGAAAGATGAAGTGATGATGATTGACAGTAGTTCAAGAAACAATGCGATAATATTTACATATAACTGCAATATAAATTGATTGCGTAGATCTTTGAATATTAAATTACCTGCTAGAATTGTTTATTTATATTGAATAAAAATAAAAAGTTAAATGAAACAGAACAAGAAGAATGAACTGATATAGAACAATCGGTAAAGCCAGTAATTACTATTTCATAGCTTACAAAAAGATCTCAATCTTTGCAAATCTGACGATCCTTATATTCCGAAATAGTTTTAGTTACAGCACATTTATCTTTTAAAAAATATTCCTTGGAAGGGAAATCCAAACAATAGAAACCATATGACCAGTACTTTTTATGCACATCAATAAATGGCTTAAATTATTCGTAAGTTTGTAATAGTAAGCCCAATAAAAAATAGTCGGCCACTTGGTATAGGCAAATCCCATCGCGATGGGATTAATTAAAATTTCATAGCTCCTTGTTTTTCGAGTCTAATCTATTAATTTATAATATATTATATCAAAGAGGTAGTTGATATGACGGTTCAAATTGACTGCGTTCGGCCCAGAAAATGGAATACATTGCTCAACAGCTCTGTTTCTGAAAAACAAATACAACTTAAGTATGAAGAGAAATATTATATTTCATTCACTCCACTCACTAATCGCTGATAAAAATACAATTTTTGGCAAATCCGTGAATCATAGTTGAACTTACTCGACCTCTTGCTGTAAGAGTGATTCTCTTTATACCAATATAATTAAAATCTTTCATCTAGCCGTTATCAGAAGGCACAACTGTATTTTATCTTTCCAAAGTGCTTTATCATTTAAACTAACTTCCACGTGTGCTCGAGCTGCCAATGCCTGAGTCATTCAGTTGCACAGTGGTGTCCACTGTCAAATTTTTGCATGCTACTGATTCTTGGTGCCCAACATTTGCTACCAGCAACATACATATGTGAATACTACATACATACACATATATATAGTACAACGACGTATCCATATATCGTCGTACATAGCTTCGCGCACTCTGCACGCAAGTGTAGTGTGGACTGGGCGGCAATTGCTGGGACATGCACAATTTGCAATACTCTGGGGACCTTTCGCTTGAGCGGCGACGCGCGCTTGATATGGCCAAGAGTGCAGGAACTCAGACACATACACACACACACACACACACACTTATTCTGACACACACATCAGGTAGTTGGTAGCTGGCCAGGGGATGCGCACTTGCCCTTGCAAGCTTGCCATTCATTTTCGTGGGGACGGGAACGGGCAGTCAACAAAACGTTCAGCGTCAACGACTGAAGCAGAAAAGTGAAATTAAATAAGTTTTATAACATAATTTACGCTATCAAAACATGCACTCTCAATCGCTCTCTCCTCACTTCTCTCTGTCTTCCTCGCTCCCCTTTGTACTTGTGTGTCTATTTATGTACATGTATATATTGTGTGTTTGTGTGTGTGTGCTGCACGTTCGCGCATTTGCTTGGCGTCCTGGGATTTGCACTCGCATGTTGCCTTCCGGCTACAAAAGCGAACAGCGGCCGCCATTTTTCGTTCATGTTTCGAGGAGCTGAAAACGCTGAAATGTAGGCTTCAATTAAATTTTAATTTTACAGAGCTTAAGCATGAAATTCGGTTTGAGCTGCTCCGGATTGGGAGTGGCAGTTAATTTGCCAAGGTACTCAGAAATGTAAGAGAGGATGGTGCTGCACCACCGACTTTCATTAAAGCAGGGCATAAATAAATTTATATATTTTATAGCTTCATTTCAATATCTTTCCCTCGCTCTTAATTTTCTACTTAATAACCCATTTTATGTCCGTACATTGGCTTCCATTAAATTATTAGGGCACTCTCAGATTGTTGCTGTTGTTGAAAACAATTTTTTGGAAAAAAATATCATGCAGCAAATAAAATGCATTTACCACTTTACTAAGGTGGTTGTGGCAGGGTTGGCAATGGGGGGATCACCCAAAACACATTCAAAACACGCTGCGAACTTGAATATGTTGAAGTGTCTATAAAAACGGCAGCCACACATGCACTTTCAACCCAAACATAAACTCAAATCGACGGGCATCGGAGTTGGCGCAAGTGGCACTCGTAAAGCCAAAGGGTCTGAAATTGGTAGGCAGAAAAAATAAAAGCATTGTAATAATGTCCAAAAATATGTTACCAATATGTGTAGCCTCTTCTCCTCCTCCTTTCCCCACCCCCGTAAATGTGGTGCGTATGCCAGCAAAGGGTTGGGACTCGTATGCCACACGTTAGACACGCTTAATCGATGCTGCAACGGCTGCGGCAAGGGTGCCTGTCTGATCCATTGCCCCCGCGAGTCTGACTACTTGTATTTTTATAGAGCGATATTTTATTTAACGCCAGCAGCACGCTAGACAAACGTGGGCATCCCACCTGCCAGGCGCAGAGACA